TAGGTTACCATGACTCTTGAGGAGTTTCAGAAGAAGTACGGAGATTTGGCTGATGGAGCGCATCTGACGGAGGAGGAAGTTTGTGTGGCAGGTTCGCTTTTTTGCACTGCTGTTCCTCGAGTGGCTCGCCTGCTCGAAGAAGATGCCGCTCCTCGGTTTACTTGTTGCTGAAGCTTTTCCTGAATGCTTGGGGAGGATGTATGAAGGGAATCTCGTGTGGTTTTTGTGCACAGGTCGGTTGACTCGTGTGGCTGCAAGTGGACAGAAGCTCCGCTTCTATGACGTCCGTGGGGACGGATACCGTCTGCAAGTGATGGCAAATCTGGCTGACCACGATCCCTCGACTGGCGACTTTGTGGAAATTCACAATGCCTTCCGCAGAGGAGATATTGTCGGTAAGGCAGAACACAATCTCTTCGTTAGTTGTGGGCATGCTTCTGGGCGAAGAAGGCTGTAAGGGAGCGGTGGTGTAAGATATTCCATTTGTTTCAGGCATCCGAGGGTACCCAGGGAAATCCAAACGCGGCGAGCTCTCCATATTCCCTCACGAGATGAAGTTGCTTACACCGTGCTTGCACATGCTTCCCGAACGAAACGCACTAAAGGACCTGGATACGCGCTATCGGCATCGATTCATTGATCTCATCGTCAACGATGAACCGCGCCGCATATTTATCATCAGGTACTGCATCATGAAGATGCTAGTACTGCCCCCCTTTAGATGTGTGATATCAGAGTATTGTGAGTACTCGCATTTCGGGGACTGCGCGCCTTGTTGAGTCGAGTTCGCGCTGTTTTCCTTGTCTGCTGAGCTCAGGTCGAAGATAACGCGCTTTATTCGTGATTTTTTGGAGAAGCGTGGCTTTGTCGAAGTTGAAACGCCAATGATGCATCCTATTGTTGGCGGTGCTAATGCCAAGCCGTTCGTGACACATCACAATGACTTGAACACAGATCTCTACATGCGGATTGCCCCTGAGCTCTACCTCAAAATGCTTACCGTCGGTGGGATGGACAAAGTTTTCGAGATCGGAAAGAACTTCCGAAACGAAGGCATCGACATGACACACAATCCAGAGTTCACAGCGTGCGAGTTCTACTGGGCTTATGCGGACTACAATGATACCATGAAGCTCACGGAGGAAATGCTTTCAGGTACCACATGCGCTCTGCTTGCTGTCACCTTCAAGTAGCCCTAGTTGAGCAAATATTACACTCTCCCATGTTGCCTCGGTAAGTTTTGTAACGCCTTGCACTGAAGTATTTCTGAACATGGTTGTTTTCGAATATGAATTTCAGAGATGGTGATGGCCATCCACGGCACTTACAAGATTCCATTTCATCCTGAGGGTCCGAGCGGACCTGTCGTCGAGCTTGACTTCACGCCACCTTTCCGGCGCCTTTCCCTTGTCGAAGAAATTGAAAAGCAGGCGAATGTCACTCTGCCAAGGCCTCTGGATGGCGATGAGTGTTTGAGTTGTTTGAAAGGGTTGATGGAAAAGCACAACATTCAGCCGCCTAACCCGGTGACTCCTGCAAAGGCATTGGATGCAGTAGGCGCGCACTTTGTAGAGAGCCAATGCACCGTCAGGCCGACGTTCATCATCGAGCATCCGCAGGTCATGTCGCCGCTGGCTAAGTGGCACAGGTCTAAACCCGAATTGACTGAGAGGTTCGAGCTTTTCTTGATGGGGAAAGAACTGTGCAATGCGTACACCGAACTTAACGACCCTAAGAAACAGCGCGAATGCTTTATGCAGCAGCTCAAGGTGAGGAACATTCCATGTTCTTTTGTAGAATGCTGAGCAACAGTAGCAGTTGCTAAGTCGCAGTTGCATGATGGGGTTTTAAATGCTAGCCGTATGTGCCTTTGTTCATCTGTGCTTATCAATAGGCGAAGGAGGCCGGAGACGATGAAGCGTGTCCCATTGACGAGAACTTTTTGATGGCCTTAGAATACGGCTTACCTCCGACTTCTGGTTGGGGCATTGGAATTGATCGTTTAACGATGTTTCTGTCTGACCAGATCACCATCAAGGAGGTTATCCTCTTTCCTTCGATGCGGCCCAAGGGCAAAGAGGAGCCGAAAGACGAGAAGAGGGCTGCCTAGACTGCGTGCAGTTTTCTTATGGACAGAGTGTCTTAGTGCTGGGCACTTCACTTGATCTATTTGGAATTGGGTGTTTTCGAAGGCCAAACAGAAGCGGAACCTCCTCGTAGTATACGCAGGAGGCACGCGGCGGTGGCATAGATGATAGGACTGCCGAGTGTCCACGCCTGCGGGGTTTGATGAGCATTTAGCCAGAAGGAGTCCCAAAAGTGCTTGGCCTGGGCTCTAAACGTGACTTTATTTTGTGTGCAGCGTTCGCGATAGGAGGAGATGTGTTTGACTGGTGACGCTTGTGCCACCAGGAAGATGCGTGAATGGGAAAGGTACCAGCCAGTGCATGAACCCACGTTGCCGGACAACTAGGCGACAATGTTCAAGCCCCTCAAGCTGCCGGCAGCATCTACTTAGGAAGCATGGCGAAATTCAACCGTCCAAGGAGGTTAACCGTGCTTCATTGTGATTTAGGCCAACGGCAAACTATACGAAGCTGCGGTGACTAAGACCACCGCGGGGACGATTTTTCCTTGCAGACAATGCTTCTCAGGATGGGAAGGTGATTATTGTCGGCCCATATTTGCCCATTCAAGCCCGAGCGTGAACGATCCACCTGAAATTAACATGGACGTATTTTGCACGCTCGCGGCACCGACCGCACCCGACCAGGACAAATTTCTGTAGAGCGTAGCAGGGCTTTCGTCACTGTCAACGCAGCATCCTGGAAATAATCATTAGATGTATATATAGTTTATATATATATATATATATATATNTATATATATATATATATATATATTTACTGCCGTCTACGAACAGCAAACCACAGAAGACCGGTTGCCACGCCGGCAACAGCGACGGTTGCAGCTGAGGCGGCGATTAGCAAGACGCTCGATCCATACGCATCCGCATTGCCACCCAACAGCCAGGACGGCAGGCAACGGTGAAGAAAGGAAAGTGCAGAAGTGCTGCCTGCAGTCGATTTTTGGGATTTCTGTAATGAGGCGTACATACTGCAGTGCTCGGCAAATGTATCCTTGTCGGCAAACAGGGAGGGCGATTCTGGTGTGTCTAGTTGTGTTTTTTTGCTATCCTTCAGCCTCTGCAAAAGTGCAGGGACGTTAATAGACTCTACTTTTGTTGTATACTCTGTAAGGAAGGCACTTGCTCTTTCTCTCGTCTCCTCAATGGATGCGAGGAGGGCTGAATCCACCCCTGGCCCGCCCTTCGCCTTCCCCTTGCCTTTTCCTCTGTTTCCTTGCATCTCCTTGCGTTTCCTGAGCGGTGCCTTGGGTGGCAATGGAAGTAGCAGTTGTGCGGCTGCTCGCGGTAAGTCTTGGAACTCAATTAGCAGCTCCTTCGGCTGAACAGCAAGCAGATCCGGCCGCCCGGCATGCAAACCCGAAACAGTCAAATCTTTCACCATGTACGAGTCCTCCAGCTCGTAGCCGCTTGCGCGGTAGTACTCCCTCGTTCCGATCCCGGCAATGACTGCCATGCGCCAGTACCCTGGTTCACAACATCAACCCACCAGCTAAAACAAAAGCAATCGAACCCGCGATGCAACGAAAGGAAAAACCGCCCCCTGCGCTGTGAAGAACAAGGCAGTGGAATTCCCACTTTGAAACTGCCGAATGTTCACAGATATCCCTTCAAACTACGCACGTGGTACCGCATGCGATGGAACCAACAGCCGCGCTCCAGTACAGAACACGGCACAAGTAACCCACATCGTTACAGCAGGCCCCACTTTCAACATTCTAAAGTGTGGGAATATACAGAGAAGTGCATACATGCGTGCAGCTGTGTGTACACATGAAGCACTATCCATGCACAGACAGGCCCATCCAGAACCAAAAAAACGTCGTATGTCTAACAGGAGTTCGACTCCCAAACATGCGCATGAGAACACGCGAACAGAGAAGACTCGTACCATTGGCCATGGCAACAATTTCTGCGGCCTGTATCAACCGCCTGCCGAATCCCGCGTGTTGAGGCCGCAAGTCCCCGCTGCTCTTCGCTTCTCCGTGAGGAACTAGCCGTCCTGCGCTCATACCACAATCCCTTGCATAAAAATTCACGTTGTAGCACGACCCTGCACTGTAAAGGGCAAAGCAGCCATATAGCCATATATTTCCCTTCTCATAGTGCAATACGTACTGCAGAGACGCTCAAGATCAGCGCTCTTGCAGCACAGGCGTTCGGGTGCACGTTACAAGGACGTACCGTAGACGTGCAGCTCTCTTAAAAGCGCTGCCCCATTCAACACGCTAAAGGGGCAGTCCCGAGGAGCCCTCCGAGCACGAAGTCTTAGCCGAAGAAACCCAAAAATTGTTTTTCTATCTGGCGTTTCGAAAGACAAGAAAAACTCCACTCCTCCGTTCGTTTCGTAGCGGCGAACACACAACTCCGCTGCCCTAAAGGCGCCAGAAGACACGTAAACAATATCCAAGTTTGCTCACCAACGTTCGGGGGTGCCTGCTCCGAGAGTCACCGCATGCGTGCTCCAAGCCTAGGCACGCGGTGGCCCTTAAATATGCTTGCACACAACAGAACCGAGGACAAGCCCCACTCTGCCCCCATCGCACAACAGCAGAAATATGGGGTAGCAGAAGTTCGTGGCTCACCCCAAATCAAGCTGTTCATCCTTCACTTCGCGACAGCGGATGCACTTGCAGCGCAAATGTCGGCTTTCCAGCTCCCTAGAAAGTTCCTGCCTGCAATGAATAGACACCACATAGCGGCTAACCCCTAAACATGACAATTTCGTGGCTATACGACTGCTAATGCGAGTACTTCATTTAAGCGAGAAAAACACACAATTGGGAATGCCTCGACCTACCGGAGGTTTGTGACGTTGTTGCCGCCTATGATGGACTGATTTGGGATGTCCCGCACTACTCTATTCAGTCGCACCCACGGATGTACGGCCGCCTTTACAGAGCAAATAAGGGTCAAAAGGGCTTCCCCGTCAACGTCCGCATAGGGAATGAACTTGCCTTCCTTATACCATTGCTGAATTCCACACACAAACAAACTCGTCACCCTCCGCTCAACAGAATACCCATGCGCGAACAAACTCCCATTATATATTAGGGCACACAGCAGCGTTCAAATGAAACATAGTTCCCCACCTCTATCGTTGAAAAAGGCGTCACTTCACACGGGTATATTTTCCACTGATCAGCTTGGAGATCGGGGGAGGAAAGGACGTAGTAAAACATCTGACGGTCTGCATCTGGACTGCTTGATGGTAGATCTGGCATGAGGTGCACGTCAACCTGCGATTCGCACATATCTACAAGTTTCTATAGGGTTTCATATCTAAATGTTTCATATTCAAATCTCCGAAACAGCTCCGCTGCACCCAGGTGTACACGAACGAACCTTGAAACCCGCGTCCTTAAGCATTCGTATGGCTTTTATAGCGTCACGACGAGTGCATCCACGGTTAATGTACTGCAGCACATTGTCGTCGACGTGTTGCACGCCAATCTGCACTCGCGTGCAGCCGAAACGACGAAGCCGGCGCAGTTCGTAACGTGAAATGAAGTCAGGCCGTGTCTCCTGAACCCGAACAGCCAAATAGAGGGCGAAACAATGACCATAATTCCCAAGAAGCAGCAAGGATACTACGGTCCAGTATGAAAACGTTCCGTAAGGAGCTACAGAATGTCGACAGAATCACGTTTTATGAAAGCCTTACCAGCGTTAAGCCCACAATGCGACACCCTGCAGTTTCATTGAGGTTTTGTTCCTCCTCCAAAGAGAGGCTGCGTCAAAGCATCCAAAATACAAACAACGCACACCTGACAGAACCTTGTCCGTTCTCCCTCCCTTCCCCAGTCGTCTCAGTCGGAGGAAACTATGTCGACTGCAAAGTACGCTCTTAGGATGCAGCGCATCATTCACGCAGAGAAAGAATAGGGCTCACGGGTCGCGGACGGGCTCAGGCAATCCAAAGACATTTGCAGCGTAGTATATGTCTCGGATAAATTCTTCTTGATAGTCCTGAGGATACCTGAAGTTGCAAGGGGACAAACCTGAATTTTCTACTCTATATCCGAAGGAGGTTGAGTCTTCACAGTGCAAGCAAACACAAGCTCGATCGCAGAAAAGAACTTACCCGCTCCATGTACCTCCCAGCACAAGGACTTCTATCTTGTCAACCGCATGGCCATTCCGCTTAAGCGTACCCGCCCTGTCACGAAACTGTTTAAGAGGGCTCCACCCGTTCTGGTTGGCTCGCAACACGGCCGGCTCAGTTGAAAGGTATGAGCGCGGCTGTCCAGGTTCATTCGGGCAGTAATGGCAATCTTGCGGGCAGGAGAAACGGCCGGGGGCAGTCAAAACGGTGATCACAAGAACCCCGCTATTTGTGCGCACTGCCTTCCGCCGCATTAAGCTTTCTAGCATCGGATTGCGCAGCCCGTCTGAACAGCTTTGACTGTCCAGAGACTCCGCACCACATGGCCCCACAGGGTTGGCGTCCTGAGTCTTCTGTGAATCTGCCTCTCCATCGAGTAATCGCTTGTACGCAGCCACAAGCTGCGACTTGGCCGGAGCAACCTTATATTTTTTCCTGAGGGCTTGTATTGCGGAATCAAACTCTTTGCTCGTTTTGGGCCTTATCCTTAGCAAGTCGGCAAGAAAGGCGTTCGCCGTTTCCTCTTGCATCACATTCCTTATGCTCGGATCGTATGCTTCCCACTCCAGCATGCTCTGTTTAAAAGATTCCAAGTGCTTTCGTCTGTGGGGGTCCTCTAGATCCTCCTTTACGAGTTGTTTGACGTCGCCACAGCGGGCCTTGTAATCTGGGCAAGTGGCAGGGAACCACCTGCGCAGGGCGTCTTCATCCGCCGCTTCATATTCTGTGGCGGCGGAAGAAGGAGGCTCCGACGCCGGAGTACTAGCTGATGGTACTGCTGAAGAGGCCGAGGACGTAGCAGAAGCAGTTACTGCTGTCGAAGCACTAGCCAAGAGCTCATCCATTGTTCCACGTGAGGTTAGAGCCTTAGGGACACGACCTCCAAAGGGAAGCGCCGTGGGTATGATGCTGATCAAGGGATCATCTACGATTTCATCTGTCTCTTTCGCCTCTCCGCCCTTCGCATAGCAACGCAATGTTCAGCAGCGTGGCGTTCGGTTAGAAAAACAACGGCGACGATGAACCGCCATCTGCAGGAACTACTGCCAAGTGGGTTTTTTCAAAAATACGTCAGTACCGCTTTACGAGACCAAGGGTTAACGCCGAAGCTAAACAGCATTCGCTGCACTGCAAAGGCGGCAGCACGGGTTGCGAATTCCGGACCACTGCAACACCAACGCGATTTCTCCTCAGATGTATTTCAGTGATTCAATGACCACTGCATTAAAGATTTATTTAGATAAGTATGAAATTGTTCGTTCTAAAGGCTCCTTCGCTGCTCCAGATGAATGACTGTGGGGCCGGACCTTACCGAACCCTGCATGTAGACTGATCGGTTAGTATACCGTTCAGGCCTTAAAGAAGCCACTCAGGTATGTAAAGTTCGCGATTCATGCATTTTAAGATTATTTAGAGCTGAAAGACACATGGGTAGTGGAATGCTTTGCTAGGATGCTGCAAGCTGGCCCCTACAACTACCCTTCGAGTCTGTCACCTTGTCACGCACACTGTAGAAACGGGTGATCAATAGTGTATGTACGCGTACGTACAGAACCCCTGTACGGCAGTAATTTGGGCAGGACCCCGTTGTTTAGGCACTTCGTTTGCGCACCACCTCCCATCCCACCACGTCTCGACGCAATATTCTTGGTGAATGTTTTCTGTACGAGTAGGCAGCACCGCTACCGATGTTGTCCCTCTCAAGTAGATAGGGCCATGAGTTATATCAGTTCAAAGCCTACGAATCGATGCAATGAGAGATTAATTGATACAGCCGTTTCGAGGTGCAGGATGCAGGGAGAACAGCTCCAAAGCGTGCTACAGAATCTAATACTTGCCGACTTCTTTGCCTAGCAACCTAGGTGGCATTGTTCCCTATCGAATCAAAGCAAACTATTGCGCTCAAACTGCAAAAGTAGGACAGAAGAGGGAGTCCAATTTTGCCTGGTCTGCAGTAAGGGAGACGACTGCCGAGAGGGTCTGGAGTGTTCGCTCGCTCAGACTGGAAACGTAATAAATTGCATCATAAATAAAGCCCAAGAATGCCTGTCTAGGAGTGTCCATAAACTATCAGCATATTGTATGAGGTTGAAGCAACGGGTGACGTCGCCGAACGGAGTGCCGACCTTATGCACTCACGTCCCGATGCAACAACTTGGTGAAGCCGGCTGAGACTTCAATCTGTGAGCCACACTTGCATATAAGTGCGTCCCATTCAACGCAAAGGAGGGGAGAGACCTGCCGGGGGGCTGGCCTGCACCGACCTGAGCCGTGGCTAGTCGCAATCGGCTCAACGGAAGAATAGCTGTTCCGCGATTTGCTGCCGTTCTTTCCTTACAAACGTGGGAGAGTTCGCATGAACCGATCATTTCAAGAAAACAACCACTGGGCATCTTAATGAAAACCAAGTTTGCTGGAGCCCCTTGGTCCAGCGCTGACCGAGCTCTCCTGCTTGGAGCCTGAACTGCATTGTCTCTCTATATTGTCTGTCCTGCTGTAAAAAAGGCAATATGCCTCTGCAGAAAAAACATCTGCCTCTGAAACGGGCAGCACCAAACCGTCGTCGAAGCGAAACCACTGCAGCAGAAGGCAACAGAAACAGTATTTGCAGCATTTATTAGTTAGGCATTGGCATGTCGTCCGGTATCATGCAACAATGCAAGCAATGCTTCCACGAAGTTCATCACACATAGTGACGAGATTTCATGAGCAAGCAGGACAGCGCAACATGGGACGGAGAATATTTTTGCACTTCGAATGAACAGCATGTTGAAAAATGATGAAAGCGATGGAAGATCCTTTTTAGGACGAACAGGCTACAGCAACCAGCTAACTAGCCGCAGCATCTCGCCGTTCAGTGCAAGTTCAAGATTTTGCGAGTGGCTTGGCATGCCCTTCCGAGCAGAGGATTCCCTTACCTCTGTGCCATCGTCGGCCATCCCCTCAAATGACATCGCTTGTCTAGGCGGCCTGAGCGGTGACTCATGCGGGGGATCCCGTGGAGACGGGCCCGAAAGAGGTGCGGTTGAAGGGCCATTAGGATGCCGCAGAGAGTGGGATGCAAGGCTCGTGAAGCCCTTTAAAATGCCTATGCGCTTGAGGAATTCCGATGGAGAGCATGCAGAGCTTCTGGGTGTCTCAGGTTTTCCTGAGGCTGCCCCTGCAGTTGAGGAGGGGAGTGCAACCGGAGCTACAAATCTCCTTCGTCGCACGTACGCCACGTAGTGGCCAGACTGACAACTGCTTCCATTGTGCTCTATCACTGCAATCAAACGAAATCTGGCAGATCCGCTGCATGACATACAAACAAACAAACCCTACCTTCGCATTAGAGGGGTTCTAGAGATCACGAGCGCCACAACAGTAGCCAGAAAAAAGAACTAACTTCACTGAGCAGCTGCAGACCACTTTCCTAAAGGTAACTTTGTGCCAGGAATGTGCTGAAACAGCTGCAGATTCACGCAGTACCCCTTGAATGAGGACTGCCGCATTCATTATGGTGCTTTGCTTCGTACCGCTTTGTTTTAATGACAAGTTCTTCGAGAGGGTACTCGACGCGAGTTCTCCGCTTTTGTCCGGAAGCCGAAAACCGCTTTATTTGCAGTAAAAGCACTTTTGGAGGGTGTGTGTATCTGATTGTCCTGTGGGCCTTGCAAGCAGGGCTGTGGCAGCTGCTGCAGCTGAATTCCAGCTCCTCGGAGCCAAAGAAGCCCTCCAATAGGCTATTTAAAGATACTTTGTTGCCATCCGCGGGGAGCGGCAAAGACAAGTCCCACGCGGGCTCATATATGAACAAGGATTGGCGACATCCCGCACATTGGATCTCGCTGCAGAGCTGCAAAAAAGGCAAATAAGCATTCCTCATGATTTAGCACAGCTCCTTAAAAACGGGTTTACTGAAGGGCTACCCAGCGCTACCCTACGACCGCTACCAACTTGTTGTATACGGGAACCCCACTGGATGACCGTAACCTTCAGCTTTAAGCTCTACATCTCTAGCCCTCACCTGTCCAGCGAAGAAATCTGCCATAGGAGAAGCTTGATCTCCTATATATTCCCTCCACTTCTTTTCTGCACGTTCAGCATCCCCCGCATCGCCTCCTACCGCTTTGCCAGGGTCGCTACTTTCGTTATCCTCAGTCGGAGTGTCAGCTGAACACACACAAGCAAGCAGTCTCATGTATGCTTCATTAATCCTGCTGACAGGGGCACCACTGGGTGACGCAGGTCCCCGGCAAGAGCCATGCCTTCTGAGCCGTGCATTCTGAGCCGCTCCGACATCGCCAAGCAACGCGTGGGAATTGTGCGAATGTAAATAGCCCAGGACCAGAATCAGCAACAAAAGCAGGCGGTGACATGGCAGAAGACAGCTGCCACCATTGCTCACTTCGCTGTGCTCGAGTCTGGTTCTTGTGATGTTGCGTTGGCTGATCATTGTCCACAGCTAATGGGATGTGGAGAGAGCCGAAGGAGGTCATAACCCACGGCTCCACATCAGCCACAGGCGAAATGGCCTGCAGTTGCAGCAGCTGTTCTGCTGCTGCTGCTTCCTCTCTCTCCTGCAGCATACCAAAGAAGACCAGGGAGACATGGTTGCTTCATTATTATTATGATACGCCTTGACATGACTGAAAGGCAGAAAAATAGCCACTGCTCCTGGGTTGGCTTCCACTGCATTCGAGTCATGACAGCATGCAACAATAAAATAAAGTGGTAACAAGTCGCAGCATCCCACCCATCTGCAAGTTTTAAGTATTTCGTGAATAAGGTCGATGAGGCCCCTTAAAAACTCGTGACAGTCCTGTTGCTGTTGCATGTTGCAGTCGTTTAAAAGAAGACCCGCTAGCGGCGCAACTAGGGCTCTTCTGAGCCTCTCGGGCCGAATTGTATCCTGCTCCGCGGCAGGCATATGCGGCTGTTGCCTCAGCTGCTGCTGGTTCTGGTTCTCTGGTTTAGTTGTAGCAGCTGCGTTTGATTCCCTTGGCCTCTGAGCAGCTAAATCCTCTGCAGAGGGCTCCTGTGCGCTTCCCTGAGGCCGGATGCTCGGGCAGCACCTGAATTCGCATTCACATCAGTAGCTAAACCCATGAGAAAACGAACCCTAATCAGTTAACCCCCACAGCACAAGGCAAGCCCTGCTTCCTGAACTATTAAACCCTGAGCCCCCAGCGCACGTCAATCTGCAAAGCAAGGTGAAGAATTCCCTAAGAAGGAGTTTCCTTTGGTTCTCGTCAAGAGTGCCGAGGCATTCAGGCTGATGCTTTTCCCTCCTCTCTTGCTGCAGGCGCAGCCGCCGCAAAAGTTCCTCGCGCCGTACGAGCTGCTGCTGCAGCAAATCCTGCTGCTGGTGCCTCTGCTGCTCGGATCGATTCTGGAGGTGCTGGGCTTGGTGCGCCTGTTGACCTCGTGTCTCTTCGCTGTCCGGGGATGCCGTGGTGCTGCTGCATGCCGCAGCTGCAGTGGCGTTCGCGGCCGCCTTAATTCCTTCATGTGAAGCATCGCAAGCCCGTGGAGACTCCCGCCACTGCGCCTCTCTAGCACCCGGCTCAGGCGGTAGGCCAGCTTGGATCGACGCTACAAAGGAAGGAATGCCCGCTAAGGCCTGCAGTGCTGCATTGAGGAAGCATGTGTTCTTAAGGTTGGCAAGACCTCGCGGGAACAACGCCCCTTCATCTGAGCAGAAAAGCAATCGCGAAGAGCAAATGAAGCATAAAAAGCCTAATCCGTAGACCAGTACTCTCACCGCATGTAAAAGCGACAGAAAACAGCCCGTAGGTCCCGAAAGACGTAACAGGAAGACCCTCAGTTGTGAACGGCACTGATGCCAATAAGATGATATTTTATGTGCTTCGACCAGTCCGTGTCAAATACCTACAGTTTTCTCGCTGTGTCTCTGTCCTGCGCTGTGACGCCTCTCCAAAGCAGCCAAAAGAAAACGCCATTCGTTGCAGTTTGCCTGGTGCCCTCCGATAGCCCCCCAACGCGGTGCCATTGTTGGCGTTGCTGCGGCTGTTAGCAGCAGGAATATCCTTTTTCTCGTCTGCTGGCTGCAACAGACAGCAAGCCTCCCACTCGGCTCCGTCATCCTGCTGCTCCTGTGGCTGTTGCTGTTGTGGCTCTTGTTCGTGCTGCTGTTGTTGTTGCTCTGGCTGCATTTGGCTCATTCTGCCGCCGCTGCTATTGCAGCGGCCGAGCCAAGTGCGCCTTTCCTTCCTGCCAGCTCTGCGTCCAATAAGCAAGCCCAAGGCGAGTCGTCGAACAAACTCTCGAGGCTTTTGCTGTTGTTGCTGCTTCTGCGCCTGTGGGTTCTGCTGCGGTTCATTTTCCTTCTCTTCTTGAAGGATTTCAGGCTGTTTGCGCGGCTTTTGTTGTTGCAATGGACGCTGCAGGTGCTCTCCTTCGTGCAATCCTTGGTGCTCTCTTGGAGAAATGCTACCTGGGGAGCCAAATCTACCACTACACGGGACGAGTGCCTCGACAGTCGCAACCCTGCGTTGTTGCCTCTGTGGGCCTCCTACATTCTTGGAGAGTTTTGGATAGGTGTCCTCGAAGACAGGAACATGGCAGCACGGCCTTTGCGCGTTGTCAGCGTCATTGTTGTTGCTTCCACCACCGTTATTGCTCGTGCTGCCCCTTCGTTCGGCCGGTGGAGACTCACACTCACCATCTTGGAGGCCTTCCTCCGTTTCAGCTTTTTTGTCTGCGGCGGTCACTGTTGCGCACGCTTCCGCACGGGTACCTGCCCAAGCTGCTGCCGTTGGTGATGATGATGCTGCTGCAGAAGGTCTTCCAGTGGCAACGACACCCAAAGGGCCATCCGGGCAATCCCCGCCGGGTTGCGTGACTCCTGCCAATGCACAGGGAATATCGCATGTCATAGGCAGTTGTTGAGGTCTGCTCAGCCGGCTACTTTGGTTGCTGCTGTTCTTGCTGCGGCGGTTGTTGCTGTCATCCGCGCCGCCGCAGCCATTGTTGACAACTCTTGTATGCATGCTGCTGCCATTGATATTTCGCACAGCGACTACCGAAGAGACCGTCCCCATTTCCTCTCTAGACTTCGTTAGTTCAGATGGCACAATTTGAATTGGTACTACTGCTTCCGCTGGCTTTGCGGGGTTTAAATCAGCTGGAGTAAGTGTGCCGATGGGATCCTCATGCTTGTCTGCTGCCACTCTACTGCCGAGGTGGTGCAGCATTTCTGCAGAAGGACGCCGTGCAAGGTTTAAGGGAAGGAAGTCTTCTATACAGTTTTCTTTCGATGGCATGGTCATAGGACTCAGAAGCATTTCTTTCTGTTGCTCTTTCTGCCCTTGTTTCTGTTGGTCCTGCTGTTGCTGGCGTTGTTCTTGCTGCGTTTGTGGAGCTTGAGGTTGTTTGGGGTCCGCCAGGCAACACCCCGTAGGAGAGCTAGCAAACAGCTCATCGGACTCATACAGATCAAAGCCTGTTACTCGTCGTGCTGGCGCTGCTCGTGCTGCTCCTTGAATAGGAATTCTGGAGGCGTTGGGCCCTTCAGTATGAGGAAACGATGATAGCGCATCTCGTGCGGTTTCACCGGGGGTTGTGAGGGCTTCGTGCTGTTGGCTCCCCTCAACGCTGTTATTCAAAGCCTCAGGACGCATCTGAAGAGATCCGTCACTTCTTGGGGAGCTGGATGTGTTAGTAGAGGCTCTGCGCTCCTGGTGACCACCACCGGAGGCCTCGGCAAGGGTCCTCGAACGGGACCCACTATTCTGAACAGTCATGCGTCTTTCTTGCCTAGTAAGTGCATGGCACCGAGGTAGCCATTGCTTGCTCGAGCGGAGCCAGCTCGGCTGGGGGAGCTGCTGCAGGTCGTGTTACTGCTGCAGCTTCTGAAACAACTGCGGGTACTGCTGCTCCTACTCGCGCTGCAGCTGCGAGTATTCCAGATGGGGCCAAGTGCTGACCTGAGAATCTAAAGAGACCAAAAGATGGGGCTGTTAACATGGAGGCACTTCGGAGAGTGTCGCAGTACCTCATACCCGTCGCTTCCTGAAAGAGTTGCGATAGGGGAGAGAGGAGACAGGCACGGGAGGGTAAAAGTGCTCATCCTGAGGGTTCGCTCTAGTCAAACCTGTTGCTGCAGTCGCAGTTATTGCTTCCTACGTTGCTGATGCTGATAGTTCTGCTGGTGCTGCCCCCCTCGTTACAGCTGCGGCTGCGGGCACTGCACTTCCGGGGCAGTTGTTGCCCAAAGTGCAGTTGGTGACACTGCAGCTCCCACCTAGGGCCCAGACATAAAGGCTGCTGCCACAGTGAAATTTGTCTGCCCTACTGATGCGCCTCAGGAAGAAGGGACTTCCACTGTCGGTGGGGAATTGTAGCAGAGCAGGGCTGGCCGAGCAGCGCACGACTACGGGGTAACTGAGGTGGTTTCGCCGGGACGCGATGGAGTAGAAAGAAACAAACAGCAAAACAACTCAAAAATAGGGGCTGTGGCTCTCGATACACCGAATACTCTCCGTCTCCATGGCGCTATCGCTCTATCGGAGGACGAGCAGGAGGAAATACTTGCGGCGTTCTGTCATTAAACAGTATGCCTCAAAGTTGACTCTCCAATCGGCGAACCAAATGTTATTCATCCATTTTTGCTTGGCTATATTTCATAAAAACGCTAGCAAAGAAAGCACGCCATTCTCTGAACCACAGAACCCCGCCCGAGTTTAGGGCTGAGCCACAGAGACATCGCCTCGCCGCAGCAGTGCAGACCTTCCGCCCTTGAGAAGAACCCAATCATCAATAAGAATAGCCCGATCTTCGGTTTTTGTCGACAGTTTTGATATTCTGCATGACATGACGCTACTGTAGCTAAAAAAACTACCTTTATAAGGTGACCAACAACTCACCAGCTACAACATGTCGGCAACCGCCGCGCGAGCAACGGTTAGCTCATCTCCGAGCTTCGCCTTTTCTTACAAGATTGAACGCGTTAATTTACCCTTTCCCCTTTCAAGTGAAAATCTCAAGTCAATGTCGAGGAATATGTGCTAATGCTGCGCCCGTCGTAGCTTGTGTGCGGAGCTGCAGCATGCTCTGTATTGTACGTGTTTGTCTGAAGTTGGTACATGCATGCTTGCGTGCATGCAGATCGGCTACGGATGGCCAAATCTCTCTTTACCGCCTGTATACGGAGGTAGTGCATGCATCAATAGGGGTCTTGACTGTGCTTACACGTGGGATTGTCCTTCAACAGGCGTTGCCGCTGTGGGCACTGTATCGAGTCCCCAATGGAGGACACACGTACGATACAGTACAACCGAACGACTTAATATAAGCATTTCAAAAAGCAAGGTATATCTCGCCCTTCCCCAAAGTTCGGGGGCAAAGCGATAGAAAGGCCTGGGTCTCGCGTGGAGACGAGGCTGTAGCATTGTTACGAGAGTGCTCGGTCGTATCCGAGGATCTTCAATAGAGTAAAAATACTTATAATAAAACTCTCCAGTAAGCATCTGTCATCTTCTCTTGCCATCACGAGGCATGGTACCGCCAGCACAAGGGCCTGGAGCCGGTGGAGAGGAGACAGTCTGACACGCGTCGCACCGTACCGTGCAGCACGAGCTGCAACTCAACTCCACGTGCACGCACAACCAACCCTTATGGCTGCATGTGCCAACTCTATAGACGATGCTTGAACGCTTGCTTGTCATTCGGTGTCCAACATGCACGCGTGTAGAAGTGCCACTAGTCACTTGCGGTGCTCCGTGTCGCCTAATTGGGTTTAGCGCCGCGTTTTCGGAGCGGGCGTCCCACCAATGTAAAAAATATATGGTGAGCATCTGCCTCTGAGCAGCTTTTGTAGTCACGTGAGCAGCGGTTGCGCCAACCCCAAAGTATAGGGCAAAGTCGTAGAATGGAAACATTGAGACTGCAGTAGGCGGCGATAGGGGGAGGAGTACTGATCACAGTATAGGAGGAAGCAGCCCTTGAAGCCAGATACATACAGAGATAGGAGCGAAACCTTTGTTAGTACACAGCAGTTGTGGCATGATTAGTGGGAAATTGCTCTACTTCCTCTGCTGAAACGGAAGTTTGGCAAGGGATGAAGCCAGCATACATGCTGCGTCTGTCCACGGAAACGTAGATACTACAGCATCTTCAGACTGACGGTAGACGCACTATAAAATCAATTAAACTACCCGTCCATATTTGTTCAGGAATCAGAAGACTCCGCAACTGGCTTGACGTTGTTCCATGCCTTTTGCTGCTGACATTCCGGACAAGGGAGAAAATATTCCTTGGCTGAGGGGTGCGGCTCAGGCCACTAAAAAGACCTGGCCACTAGCGCTACTGTTGTGTTGAGCGCATCGTGATAGTTCGTCTCGCGCAAAACGTCTGTGCGAGACGAAGCTGGGACGTATAATCTGCTGACTGCACACTTCGTTTGGTCTCCCCAGGTGTCGCCTTCTATGTCGTAATGCTTAACCTGTCGAGTGTTGTTAAGCTTAACGAGAGCCGCATCTGCCCGTGTATTTAAAGAGCAAGAAGAATAGGCAGGGAAAAGGGAATCATCGCATACAAGCGCAGTTGGAAAACCCTGTGGCTGACCTGTAAGGCGTCGGGAGATTGCGCCAGCAGCAACGTTGGTGGTATCCTTGATATACTCGACCGTGAAGCCATATTGTGTGAGCCGGCAAAGAGGCCAAACAAATCATTTGCTATCATAGTCTTGACGACTCTTCGTCAAGTGAGTAAAGTGTTAATGATCGGTTTGGAGGGCAAAGTTCCTGCTATATAGGCAATGTTTTCATTTCTCTACACTTCACCCGACCGTTCAGAGCTCGTAATGTATCGTATACTTTTGTTCCCTTACTGTGAAATTATGGCCGTATGAGACGATTATTTGGAGTCGTTAGCTTGCTGAGATAGCACCAATCCAACAGCTGTGCCCCTGGTAACGGTGTTAAGGAGAGCGCTTCGTTGAAATCAGGGAGCGCGCGCACAGGAGACGATATCAGGTTTCTGCCGAGGCTGCTGGCGGCTGCGTCTCCATTCTCTTTCCAAATAAGCTGCTTGTCCCTAGGCACTTCAGTTAGAGGGTTTAAGGTTTAGGGTGAGTCGTCCTTGGTGAAAGTGCATCTCTCCCTGGGACGCCGAAATATAACTTGTTTCCGCTCTTCGAAGCTCTAGACAGTGAGTTGCCTCCCCACCGGAGGGCAAATCATGCTCAATATCCAATATGCAAGGTATTGTGTCTGGGATTTGATAGGGATTTGGGGGAAGTGTTTATGCTTACATTTTTTTTTTCTTTCCCGTGCTGACAGGAGCTATGCAAGAGGCCGGCCTGCTCAGGCTTGGGATTGGACGCTTGCACCTGCCCCGATGAACCATACGATGTCACCAGGTGTAACGAGCGAGTCACGGCCTTATTCAAGGACTTTCAGGAGCTGCAATGAAGCCAAAGGCCTAAGGCAACGAAGCAGCTGACCTGTCTCCCCCGTCTCCAGGCATCCCGGGCACAGTAGGTCAGGAACTGGGATTAGGGGGGAAGACAGATCCTGACATGTGTTGCAGTTTACCCAGTTGCAGCTGGTGATGCAAGCCCGTTGCAGACGAAGCTCCCTTTACTGCATGCTTTATCTTTCTAGACGCGTATAAAGCATTTGTATTTGTTTGCGGACAGTTTGTCAGGGCAAAGCAAATGCTCCCCTGCTAACTTCAGGCAGCCCATGCTACACTCACCGTGGGGGCCGACCCGAGCCAGTTACTACGCCGGGTGGATGAGGAACAGACAAACAGAAATGTGTTCCCTGTGAGAAATTCGGAGCCACAATCGAGAGCGGTTCCGTCCGGCGGCTCCCACCTTTCCTCCCTTTGCAACAGCTATCTGAGCAGTGCCGTTCATAACGCTAGCTTCCTGGCCACAATCAAGGACAGAGGTGAGTCGCAAGGAAGGTAAAGACTTGAAGTAAGAATTTTCCCAAAGCAGCAAGCCTCCTTACCCTGTCCCCAGACGTCCTGGGCATTGAACACGGGGCCTGAATGTTGCGTGGAGGAGGCAGCCTAAAGGAGTTGCAGCGCGACTCGCTGCAGCTGACAATGCAAGGCAGCCTTATAACGCCTGTTCTCTGGCCTTTTTCCGGCCAGAGGCGAGCCGCAATTTAGGCAAAGACTTAAAGCAAGAGTTTCCCAAAAGAAGCTAACCTCCTTCCCCGGTCCCTAGGCATCCTGGGCGTTGAGCTCAGGGCCTGGGTGTTGCGGGGAGGAGGCAACCAGAAATGGGGTTGCAGCGCACTCCGCTGCGGCTGGTAGTACAAGCCAGCCCCACGCGTGCACGCAAGGAAGCTTCAGCGAAGCTTCCTTTGCTGGATGTTTTACCTCTGAGAGTACTTGTAGAACGTTTGCAAGCGTTTACACGCAACTTGTCGGAACCAGGTGAAAGCTTCTGCGCTAACTCATGCTACAAGCCTCATGTGCACACGAGGAAGCTTCAATGAAGTCTTCTTTACTGCATCTTTACCTCTGTATACACTTGTGAAGTGTTTGCATTCACTTGGAGGCAACCTACCCAAGGCCAAGTGAATGCTCATCTGCTATTTGTAGGCAGACGACGCTACACCGTTGTCTTAGTTGGTCCGGTATAGGGACAGAGATACTACCATATACATCTCCCCCTTCTTCTAGTCACACTTACTGGAATATAATTGAACTATACGTTAGTAAACGAAAAAAAACTATATTGTTTAGCGGCAGTTCCCCATGGCGTCGGATCTGATCGTCAGCCACTGAACCCTCGGGCACTGCGCATGAAGCCCACACATTGGGGCTTGTGCCTTGTTCGCCCTAGGCACAAGCCAATCAGATTGAAGAGGACAAAAACCTTTTGTTCTAGCGCATTCTTTCTACTATTGTTTGTCTGACCTTTCCCCAGTTCGAGACAGGCCTACTGCACCGCCTGGCGCTGCACGAGCCCCATAGACTATACCGTGGGGTTCTCTGCTGCTTGAAAGGCTTGAGCATAGCTTTGTTATTGATGCAGAAGTGGCTGGCGCTAAGCTTTTTATTCGTGGCTTTACCTTCTCTGCGCTTACCTTGCGTCTCCTCTGTTCTTACGCGCTGTTCCCCCACAGCCCGTCTTTCTTCGAGTTCGTTTTTTCTCAGCTCCGCAAAGGTTTGCTCCCCTTATACTTATCTCCGCTGCCGTCCCTTGGCATACTCATTGCCTTTGTATCCGGAGATCCAGGGTATCCGGAGCAAGCCGTCGTTACTTTCACTAGGAAGCAAGAGTGCAAATCGATTGTGCGTCGGCACCTCGAGGCAGCACTGCGGAGCGAAAATGGCAACCCTCAGCAATGGAGTTCCTTCAATGGAACAGCTGCATCAGTTGGCGGAGAGAGCGCGGGAGAAAGGTTGGCCCTCAGCGGATGTGCGAGAGTTGTACATTGCATTCTTCGAGCATGTGAAGCACAAGAGATACCCGTCCTCACCGGTGGTGCCCCATGGGGACAACACCCTGCTTTTTATCAATGCTGGTAAGGCAGTACACATGCCTAGGCTCGTGCTGGAGATGCCGGGTGCCGCAGGGCTACGTTCAGTTGCAGGGGTCATTTGTGCAGGTGTGATGCTGGTGCGTAGTGCTCTTGTGCCTAGTTTCCGCCATTAACACTAAGTGCGCGTCGGAAATTGTAGAGGTTCCTGCACACTGGGATGTATGTACATGAGTCCAAAGGCACGGGCACGCACAGCTGTTGCTGTATGCACGCCTCATTGATTTCGTCCCATTCGTTTATATGGATGAATTAGCGCTGCCTGCAGACCGTTGTGCAGTGGTTCTATGATGAGCGCCTAGCGGGGCCCTCTACGGGTGTCCCATAACTCGTCGATTTAGCAGATGTGTTGGCACATGTATCTTGTGGACGAATATTCCAGTAGTGTGTGTTCTGCTCGCGTGAGTTGGGGCATTCTGTCTCCACCATGCTGAACTTTCGTAGAATAGTGATAGGGAAAGAACCCTATTGATTCTTTGGATGCCTGTCTTCACTGGCCTTTCGCAGGTATGAATCAATTCAAGCCCATCTTCTTGGGACAGGTTGACAAGAACTCCCCACTCGGTGAGCCTTAGATATACAGCAACACACTGCCCGCGTAGGATGTACATTATCTCCAGTGTTTGGTCTCCGCACAGCTGCATGCGTAACTGAATTGTGGTTCGTGTACGCGCGCATCTGCCTATCACTTATCTCTCGTTGGTAGCGCCTGTGCAGCAAACCACTGTTCCTTCGCTTCATGATATCTATTTAAATATACCGGGATGGTTGCTATTTCTGCAGCTGACGGCACGCTAGCCTCGGGGGTAGCAGACTCGATACCGACTTGCAGTAAAGTATTCTTCTGTTGTGCTTTTAGGGAGGCTGCGCCGTGTGGTGGATACTCAGAAGTGCATCCGCGCCGGAGGAAAGCACAACGACCTGGAGGACGTGGGTAAGGACGAGTATCACCATACGTTCTTTGAGATGCTCGGCAACTGGAGCTTCGGCGACTATTTTAAGGAGGAGGCTATCGATTGGGCGTGGAAACTCCTCACAGAGGTGTACAAGCTTCCGAAAGACAGGTAAGATGGGCGCATCGGTGATTCAGCAGTTGCAGAGTCGAGCAGTAAGCACCTTTGATGTCGGCGGGATGTCAAACGTCTGTGCAGACATGACGGGAGGAAGAAGGGCGCTAAAAGGATTGAGAAATGGGGGCATATTTTTAGTCACATATCACTGAGCCACCGCGAGCGGCTACATTTTCCTGTTTCTCTTTTATGGATGCATCTAGGCATGCTGCAGTGTAGTTGAATTCGGTTGATACCCACGAACCACCGGCTCGGTTGCTCGCAGCCCCGTGTTTTTGTATGTCTTGCTTGGGCCGAATTTTCGTTGCTGTGCCATCCCCACTTTTTAACTCGTCTGTGCGGGTGTGGTGTGCTTCGTAGACTTTACGCGACGTACTTCGGAGGTGACCCGAAATTCCCCAGTTGCCCTCCGGATCTGGAGGCGAAGCAAATCTGGCTGAAGTATCTCCCGGAGGATCGGTGAGCTTGGTATTCACTATCTGCGTGGATGTTGTGCTCAGCAGGGGGTCGATATCTAGAAACCGGGGAAGCTACTTGCTGAAACCTTCACAGTTAGTTGGTGTATATGTTGTGCGTACATCTGCAACTCCAGGCGCATCCTTGAGTGTTGCCATGTTCGGTGGTGCACACCGCTTCGTGTACCTTTTTCCTTGCCTTTTTATTTGTCCCAAACATGTTGACTTTCAGGGTTCTGCCATTCGGTGCAAAAGAAAACTTCTGGGAAATGGCGGACGTCGGCCCATGCGGCCCTTGCACTGAAATCCACTTCGACAGAATCGGTGCGCCGTTAGTCACGGTACCTGAACTCAAAACCAACGCCCTAGAAGCAGACACCCCCAAACCACTGTGTATGAAACGCTGTGCTGACTGCCCTTCTGCGAACTGCAGGGGGCCGGAACGCTGCGAGTCTGGTAAACATGGACGACCCTTCGGTGCTGGAGATATGGAACTTAGTGTTCATGCAGTTCAACCGGGAAAACGCGCAGACGCTGACGCCGCTTCCAGCCCCCTGTGTTGATACGGGTGAGTAAACTTCATGTGCTTACGACGGGGGATAAATTATTTCTTCCGTGCTTCTCTGTGCTCAGCTGTTCAGCGTTGCCGTGTGTGGAGCGCGCAGGCATGGGCTTGGAGCGTCTTGTCTCGGTTTTGCAAGAGAAGAAGTCCAACTACGACACGGACCTCTTCCTGCCGATCTTCGACCGCATTCATTCTTTCAACACTAAGCTTCCAAAATACCAGGGAAAGGTGAACAGGCTCTCTATGCTTCCCTTTCCCCTCCTGTGCCCATCGGTTGCTGAGTTGTCGCAGTTCTCATCTGTCGCATTGACCCAACATCGCACTCGCGCAATTTCCGTCCAGTATGCACCTCAGCATTAGACGTATTCATACCTTTACGTTCATTCTTGTCGTGGGATAATGGCGCAGAGAGCCATTGTATATGACCATAAGCTTGTTATCTGCTGGGACGACTGCGTGAATGCCCAGTGCCCTCCTGCCTCCGCCGGGAGGCTGCACGCATGCGGAGGAAGCAACGTGCATCTGCACGACTGCTTTCTTGCACTGGAGCTGGTGCAGCAAAGAACACACAGAGGTGAGGGCAAGTATGCGGACCCGGGCATGCACTTGTCGAGCGTGGCTGCGTTGGCCTGTTTCTGCAGGTTGGTGAAGAAGACACGAATAAGATAGACACGGCCTACCGGGTGCTGGCTGACCATATACGTTGTCTGACGGTGGCCATCACTGACGGAGCCGAGCCATCCAACGAAGGCAGGGGCTATGTTCTCAGGAGAATCCTCAGACGGGCGGTCAGATTTGCAAAACAGACGCTTCAGTTGCCTGGTATGACGGAAAGGGGAGTGAATTAGTCCCCGAGACGGATTCGTGCGCCAGTCAGAGTGTGATGGTTTTATCACGTTCGCATGACTCCTCTCCGTATTTCTGTTGCCGCCAATCTAAGTGTCCGTCCCCGAATTCCCGTTACCACTTGAAATTCAGTCGTTCTCTCCTGCCATTGGGTGAAGGACCACTGCGTTGTACTCTCTTGCTGCTGCAGACGGGAGCTTCCCTCAGCTGGCCTCCTGCGTCTGCTCCTCCCTTGGCTCCGTGTTCCCAGAGCTGCTAAGATCCCAGGATCGCGTCCAGTCCGTGCTCCTCAAAGAGGAGCAGCAGTTTACGAAAACTCTTGACAAGGCATGTCTCCAGCCCTAGAGTCGAGTGTTCTGCACAGACACATGCTGTGGCGGTTTCGCAAGCGGGTGCTAGTATCCGTGGCACTGCACGCAAGGCACAGCTGTCGGTCGATTCCTGCTTGTGCAGAAATGGCTTCCTGCCTTCTGTTGATTATGGCATTTTACTTCTCGCGTCGTATTCGACTCTTTCCTTATTCTGTAGTGTAGCAGCTGAGAACAGGGTGGCAAGATGTTCACTGTGCCATGGGTGCTTGTATGTGTAGGGGGTGGATCGCTTTAAGAAGGTCGTCGCCTCCCTTGCCCCCGGTGGCAAGTTCCCCGGGTCGGAGGCATTTACTCTTTACACCACTTATGGATTCCCGCTCGATCTCACGCAGCTCATGGCTGAGGAAGAGGGTCGAGAGGTCAACGTTGAGGAATTCAACAAGAAGTCAGTGTACACAAAGCCTAGAGCACGGGGGCATAGCTAAAGTTGCACATTGTATAGGTCCAAGCAAACACGAAAGCAACACGAAAGCATCTTGTTTTGCGATCACTATACGCCTGCGTTTTCTTGGACGGTCCAGTGGATTGTCTGCTTAGCCTCATGTCTCGTCCTCAGACGAAGCATCTGGGGGCGGCAGCAAGGTTTCACGTTGAAATTGGTCTCTGTGGGCACAAGGCTTGATTGCTTCTTTCTTGCGAGTGTGAATCAACGCGTATTTGTTTAGGGTTTAGGGCTTAGGTTTTAGCGCGCCAGTGCTTCGGCATCCCAGTATCGCCTGCCAACGGGATGCTGCGTCTTCTGTTTGCTCTACAGGTTCGACGAACATCGCGCTGCCTCTGAAAACATAGCATTTAAAGCGAGTGGAGGGGCANCTGTCTCCCGCTTGCCTCCAGACCAGCATCACAAGCTTGAGCAGCAAGGCCTTGCTCCAACTGATGACTCTTACAAATACCACTGGAACATCGCTCAACGGCCATACAACCCGGTGTGTGGCACCGCATAACTTTCATCACCCTTGACTTTACAAGGTTGCATGGCAGTGCATTGGCGACGTTAGTCAAACTGGAAATGCCTGGAAAGTGAAGTAGAGCTCGTTGTCTCTGTTACTGCTTCGAGTGACGACGTATGCGCATCGGCGGATTCACTCTCGTGGTTGATTGTATCTGGTGGCATATCACGGAGGTTCAGCTGTGTTGTGCCTAGACGTTCTGTACTTCAACGGGCTGTGCTGGCTATTGTCTCAGGACTCAGAAGCAACGCCACCGTGCTCCTGCACACTCCAAGCCATTTGGAACGGTGCTAACTTTGTTGTAAGCTGTATTTAAGGGCTCAGCGCACTCGTGGACCCTTGCTCCTGAAGCACTCGTTACAGCTGCAGTTGAGTTGCGAGGGAAGAGCGCATGCATAATGAGATTCTCGCGTCTGTAGGGCTCTGCGCTTTTGTTTACTTAGGACACCGTATCTGAGGACGGAACTGTCATAGCCCTAGTGCTCGACAAGACTCCTTTCTACGCGGAGCAGGGCGGACAACTGGGAGACGAGGGTTTCCTCGAGCTGAATGGGCATCACTTCAGAGTCAGAGACACGCAGAAGAGTGGTAGCTACATCCTTCATATCGGAACCTTGTTCGGGGGAGCCTCACTCAAGGTAACTGAACAACACGAGCATGGGGAAGGAGTACTTGCCCACGGCTTAATAATATCGTGCGCTACCGCTTATGTTCGGCTCAAATAGAGGAGTAGAAACACGTACAACCCTTAAAGTGGTTATTCGATGCTCGCAGGTTGGGGATGTGTTGACACCCCGAGTGAACTACGCACGGCGTCTTGGCCTCGCCCAACACCACACAGGAACTCACCTTTTGGCGGCGGCCCTTCGGCAAGTGTTGCTGGATAAGGATAACGGCAAGAGAGAAACAGGAAAGGGAACTGAGGACAAGGACGCAGATGGGGAAAGACGTACTATTAAGCAAAAAGGGTCTCTTGTAGAAGAAAGGAGACTGAGGTTTGACTTCGACTGGGATGCCCCTCTCACAAACCAACAGATTGAAGCGATTGAACTGAACGTTCAGAGAGCGGTAACTCAAAATTTAGTTGACATGGAACCCAGTGGCCTCGTAGATATCACCTCAAAGGGCCATATATGCTTGCTAAGTATTAAGCAGGACTAGCGTGCAGAGCATTCGTTGAAACCGAAACCGCGCGATAGGCGGGTTCGTTGGTCTGTGACTGCCTTTTTGGGCCTCCGTCGATGCGCTTTTGCTGGGTCTCTTTGTATTCCAGTTCGTAGAGGGTCCGTGTTTTTGGGAAAAGCTGTCCCCCCGTACGCCTTTCCATGTCCCAGTTCCGGTCTGTTTTTCTTTGATTTCTCAGATTGCCTCCTCTTTGCCGGTAAACACAGCTGTGTTGCCGTTGAAGACCGCCATGGACCTTCCCGCCTTGTGTGCAGTTTTTGGTGAGGTGTACCCGGATCCAGTGAGAGTAGTAAGCATTGGTCCAGACGCAGACGAACTCAAAAAGATACAAGGAACACAAGGGGCTGACAAAGTAAACGCCAGTGTCGAACTGTGCGGAGGTACTCACCTCAGCAACGCCTCCCAGCTCGAGGTACTTAGCACAGGGTTCTAGATATGGGGCTTCAGGGGAGAGCTTGGGAGGGCTGGGAGACGTTGGGTCGCTTAGGGTGTTTTGCGTGCATCGACACCTGCTCGTATAGGAATTAGTAAAGGCGCGCATACGTTTTGATGCGTGGAATTGCACCCCTGCGCACGCTTGTGTTCTGAAGGGGATACATTTACACGTTCCACATTCCTACACATTTGTGGGTGGGGGACGTTGGTATGCGGATGATTCGCTCTGGTTTATCCTTTGATTTGCAGGACTTTGTCGTGATATCGGAGGAGAGCATCGCAAAAGGAATCAGGAGAATCGTTGCAGTGGCTGGCGAGGCAGCACTCAGTGCGCGCAGTGAACTTAGAGACGTCTGCGTAAGTTTGCATTTCTGCGTAATCGAGCAGGTGCTATTTTAGGTTCCGCTGCGTTCTTGTCTTCGTTGTTTGACGGATCATGCTTTAGGGTATGTGGTGTTGGGTGCCTGCGCAGTTGTCACTAGCAAACCTGGAATCCGCCTCCCCAACATTTCCGTTTTTTGAAAAGGAGGTGCAGCAGGCGAAATCATTCGTTGAGAGCAACAAAAATATTCCTCTGCTGTCCAGGCGGCGTTTGCTGGCAGAGATCGAGCACAAGCAAAAGCTCGGGGTGAGGCTCCCTACGAGCTGCCGGCTTGTTCTGGAAGTCAACGCACAGATCCGATATAGTAAATAAGCGCTGCACGCTGCAGTTATTCTCCTTCGGAAGCCTGCTGTGTGCGTACAAGTTCTTGAGTACAGCTTTCGTATGCATGATCCCGTCCTTAGCTGCCTACCGTGTTTTTGCTTTGCGTGGGTGACTTCATTGCAGCTGGAGCTGAGCAAGTTCCGTGCTAAGGAGCTGTTGCGAGTTGGTAAGGTCCTCGGCCAGGAGGCAGCGAACGCGGCAAAAGGTAAAAAGTTCGTTGTCCTAAATCTAACGCAACTCCAGGGAGACGGGAAGGCCTTAGATGAGGCTGCAAAGGTGAGCACAATTGTTTTGCATGCGTCTGTATCTCCCGAGACGCCCACTTTCCAAAGGGGTTTGCTGCTTTATACCGCTATATGCATGTGGCAAGGTTCAATTGTTATATTGTTTGGACCGTTGGACGTGGATTATCCAGGTAGAACCTTGCTATTCGGGGATTGTTCATCATTGATGATAGTGTCCGGTGACCTCTTTCTTTCTTCAGGCTTTGCAGGCTGCCGCTCCATCGCTGCCATTCTTGTTGCTGACCGGGCTGGAGAGTCGCGGGACGTCCTGCATTTCCTTCAGTCCAAAGGGTACACCTTTAGAGTCCTCCAAGTGGCTGAACGAAGCACTGAAGGAGCTAGGAGGCAAAGGAGGTGGCAAGGAAAGGAGCGTCGGGGCAGCCAAGGATGGAACTATCAATGGGTTAAAGCGGGCTGTCAGCGCTGCCGTGGCTTTTGCGGAAGCCGCCCTGCAGTAGCTCCCACCTTAGCAACTCAGTTCTTACGATCAGATAGTATGCAGTTCATTGCGTCTGTGCGTACAAATATCCCACCAGATGTCTGTCGAATGTGAGAAACGCTTATTGGCACCCAAGTAATTCGTTTGCGTTGCACAAGCTTTATACAGCACGAGAGGCCCTTGCGGACTGCGGGCCGCACCCCAAGGTCACGCGGAGCATGCATGAAACCGAATTGCTTTTGTATGCATGCATTCGGAGGGGGCCACTTGCTCATACGTTCGGTTTACGGAATGCATGCCCTTTACTGATGCTGCAGCGCAGCTCGGGGCGCATTCTTTGTTCTTGCTTTTAAAGTTGCTCAGCAAGGCAGCGTAGGTGGTTGAACAACACATTTATAAGCTTCCATGCAAGGATGCGTGTGCAGGGGCACGCGGCTGCCCATATTAGAAACAGGCATACAGAAGTGCCTGTAGAGCCAACCTATTTTTCAGCGTCCCCTTCCAACTTCTTGTATGCTAGAAGCGCTTCGCGCTCCGCCCCCTTCATGGATAATTGTTACGGGTTTGGGCATGGGCGGACCGTGTGACTTGTAAAGAAGTACATTCTCGAGAACGATAGATGAAAATCGTATCATCCTGTAAGCGGTGGTCAGCTAGAGGCGGCAAGCCGCCAGTTCGATAGCTCTCTAAAAAAAGGAAACTGCTTAGAGGAAACAAACCTCGGAGTTTTCGGCCTCGGGGGAACGCCGCTAAACGGCGCCGCAGACTGCGGTTACAGCCACAGAAAACGGCGCGGGGTGAGCCGCTCATGCGTTTGTGTGGCTGCCCAAGCTGCAGTTGCAGCTGCGCCCGCAGAAGGCCCCCTTGACCACAAAGCACAAGTATCCCTGGAATGTACATGCATACGCATTGGCGATTGTGTATTTGTAAAATGTTCACATGCAATAACGCATTTGTGCATGTACATAACATCATCCTGGCATTTGCAGTGTTTCTACCCCCCCCACAGGCACCATTTGTATGTAATAGCACCGCAACAAAAGTGCCATCTGCACACGTCGTGTTCTCTTTCATCGCCCATGCCGCGCATTGGCACCCGGCGTATAAGCCATTTGAAAGCTCAACTCGATGTTCGATCCCCCAGCAGTCTCTACACACAACAATTTTACTTTTACTCAGTTTCCCCGAGCCCTAAGTTCAACTGTCAGTATGGAGCGCCTCGGGCTGAGCGCGCTGACCCTCCAGACTGGCTCTCATCCCCTGCAACGACATAAGCAGCAACAATAGCCATAAGCTGACTCTTTATCAGATGCCCCTGTATCCCCTGATATTTGTAGGCAGTTAAGGCAAACCGCATTCTTCTTTGCTGCGTACCAAAGCAAAGCATTCAACTAGAGTGGCGGCCCCTTAACAAACCGCGTCAACGCAATCTCACCTCTTCTGACGGCCCCGTAGCCACCATCCGCGCAACCGTATGCGTCTCCGTAGCCTGTCCCATAATACCCCCCATAGCTCCCGTAAGCTCCGTAAGGACTGGGGCTGTACATGGGGGAATACGCAGTGGCTGCAGCATGATAACCATACGGTCCAGCTGCTCCCCCATAGGTGCCGTAGTTATAGTAACTCTGATCGTAGTATGGAGAGGTAGCGTAGCGGCCTCCCGGCAGCCTGCGAGCTCCTCTGTCTTGGGCTGGTTGAGCATCCACCTACAGCAGTCATCAAACAGATTCAAATGTGTAAATGACAGCTAGTGCCTTGCAAGCAAACGCAAGTATTTACGCAAATGCAGGTGTGCACATTCGTTTACATATTTTGTATCACTTTCATATATAAGGGTACTGTGACCAGCCAGGCGCACTCTGTTATCAGCGTCGAGTTGGTGAGGCGAAGCGCCAACGGCGACGGCAACTGAATCCACAGAGGTGAACTGGACAAATCCAAATCCTCGGCTCTTTCCAGAGCCGTCCCGGATTATGGTCGCCTGCATGCACACCCCACCACAGAGAAGACGTGACCTGCATACACCGCCGGGCTCGCCCTGCACGGACTCCAACGCGCACTCCATTGCACATATATACGAACACTGCTGCTCAGATGCAACCTAAAAATCAGAGTCAGGGCAGAGGAAACGGCGCACTGCAAGGCAGAGCGATGCAGGACCCCATAGAAACCATCGGCAGCGAAAAGCAGGAGAACCTAGAGGCAAAACCAGACTACAGAGTAGAGAAATGTTGTGCTAAAAAAGTAAGTAAATATGAAGAGATGCCACTGATGCAACAAGCGAGAAAGACAAAAGCTTCTGACCTTCTCAATGGACCCATACTTCTCGAAGTGCTGCTGTAAAGTTTCTGCAGGACAAAACCACAAGAAACCAAAATCAAGCGCACCCTCAACACTTCTGAGGATCCAGAGTTACTTCTCAAGGAATCAGGGTCACTAGGCCTGCGACCGCTGTACTGCTGGGGTAGAATTTGTCTGGATGTTATAAGTTTTGGAATCCATGTCGTACCTTCCGTGACAGAAGAGGTAATGCCTCCTATGAATATTTTGTGCCTGTTCGCACTGCTACAGCTAAGACGCCTCTCGGGCTGCCGTTCCGGCTGCCTCTCTGGTCCAGGCTTGCTGCTTAGTTCCCTGTTCCACAAGTCACAAAGTCTATACGCCTGAATCTGCAGGGCCTAGGCCGCTGGTAAACAAATTGAAGCACGAAGAATGGGTCAAGAAGGTGCATCCGCTGACAATCTGCAAGTGTCTATAAACTCCGACCCCCAGACTGTGGCAAAGAACAACTTTTTGGCCTTATTCCGATTACCTAATGTCCAGTTGTCTGTCCCTGATCACGTGTTCTGTGTTCAAGAAGGCTTCCGTGTTCGAAGGCTGACGAACTGATATAAAAGCGTATCCTCTGTTCTTCCCTAAACAAGAGGACAGCAACGCGCGTACACTTAGCTGACGGATACAAAAAAGGAGACCCAAAAGGACGGCACGGATCCCTAAACGGTAAGCAAGCCCTCAAGGTCATTTTACCTGTAACGGGATCAATTTTAATGTCAATCTCGTCCACTGTGACAAACCCTGAAAGATACTCCAGGAGCTCTTCTCGGCTAACTTCCGGATGAAGGGCCCCAACAAAGAAACTCCTGTGCAGACAACAACTCAAGAGTAGAGCCCGGCAATCGTCACCCCAAACCACGAACCTCCGGCTCACCAAGCGTAAACTTTAGCGAAGTGCGCCAACAACAAGGGAAGTAGCTGCTGCAGTGGTTGATTTGTCCTTACAATAACTCTCCGCTGTCTTCTGAATTTCCATTCCTCTGGTTGTCATAGTCTGCCTGTCTGTCTCCGGATTCAGGCTGCGCAGACACTCCCGCCTGGCTTTCTCCCCCGGCATATGAGGAGGGAGCATTCGCAGCATCTGCGGGTGGATCTGCAGGCTCCGTTGCTCCGTCAGGCGTCCATACACTCGGCTCAGGTGCGCCCTCAGGAGGCGCTACCTGAGCATCCGCTTGGGGCCCTTCATGCAAACTGCCGCCACCCCCCGCGCTCTGAGGGGAAGCGGATCCTTCATACATAGTCAAAAGAGCGCAGCCTAAACACTCGAATCCGGATCCTCGAACCCCCCAAGAAGTCACGCGGGGAGGTGAAACGAGCGCTAAAGCCCTAAGTTCTGACCTTTACGACTTCAGGTCTCGGCTTATCGTTTTCCCACCCGCAAAACGCAAGCCCTTCCGGAAGCGCAGGGCCCGGGAGAGCCTCCCGAGAGGAGAAACGCGAAAGCCTCACGATTGGGGTTGGGTAAAGGATAGAGATGAAGGGGAAACAAGAAAGAAGAGGGAAATTGGCCTGGAATCCGTAGCGAGGGCACCCCGCACCTCCCTCCTGTTGTGTTACGTGCACTGCAGGCGCATATACGCCTGCGCCTAAACTTTTTGTTGTAAACCGTAAGTAACAAATTAAACGAAACAAAGATAGTGCCCTTGTCTCTTTAAGCCCTAACCCACGCCCTCAGGGGCCCGTGGCTGTGCATGCCCCGCGCTGGTGTGTGTTACGTGCACTCTAGGCGCGTATACGCCCGCCCCAGAATTCTTTGCCGTAAACCGTAATTAGCAAATTAAAAGAAACAAAGATAGTGTCACTGCGTCTTTAAGCACTAACCCACACCCCCAGGCTTTCGGAGTCTTTGAATGGGACTGGATCTCCAGTCCTCCTCCTGCTGAGCGTGTCCACGAAAGAGTGACTAGTGGGTGACCGCGCGGATCGGTTGTATGCAAGGCAAAAGGAATCTGAAGGAAGTAACATAAAGTGGGGAAAGAGTGGCCGTCCGTCCTTGTACTCTCACCAGACCTCACAACCCTGTGTAGCGTAGTGTTGCATGAGTTAGCGCAGAAGCTTTCACTTGGTCTTAGCACGCTGCGCGGAAACGCTTGCAAACATTCTACAAGTACGTTCAAAGGTAAAACATGCAACAAAGGAAGCTTCGCTGAAGCTTCCTTGCGTGCACGCGTGGGACTGGCTTGTACTACCGGCCGCAGCAGGGTGCGCTGCAAGCCCATTTCTGGCTGCCTCCTGCCCACAACATCCAGGCCGTGAGCTCAACGTCCAGGACGCCTAGGGACTGGGGAAGGAGGTCAGGTGCTTTTGGGAAACTCTTGCCTCAAGTCTTTGCCTACATGGGCTCGCCCCTGGCCACATAAAGGCCAGAGAACAAGCGTAATACGGAGTGTGGCGACTGGCTGTAGCCGAAGTTAGCACGAGAATAATCACTTGGCCTTGGTAGGCTGCTTGCACGCAAATACAAATATTCGTCAAGTGTCTACAGAGATAGAGCATGCAGCAGAGGCAGGTTGGTTGCCACTGCGCGCGAGGCTGTCTTGCATCTATGGGGTGCACTGGGATTCATATGAGCCTGCCTGTAGCATGATCTGTTTGAAAGTAGGAGAGAGATATTCGCTTTGGGTTGATAGATTGCCTGCAGGCAAATAAAAATGCTCAATAAGTGCTCAAAGAGGTAAAGCATGCAGTAAAGCAAACTTGTGCGTTGTGCTCAATTGTGAGGCACACTTGCATTTTTAGCTGGAGCGAGGTGCGCTGCAACTCACGTCGGGCTGCCTCCTCCCAGGCTTCTCCAGTTACTATCCCAGGCACTATGTTTCGGGGCCGACGATGCGTGGCGGCAGGTGAGATGGATCAGTAGCCTTTATCTCGCTAAGAGCACCTGGCCCATCTCCCGTTGGCACAATTCCAACCCCCACAATGCTGAGCTTGCCGGCTTTATTCGTAGCATGGTCTAGATGAAAAACTTTACGAAGATAAATATCTACCTAATTTTTCTTATCAAGACCCCAACCCTCTCTTCCTGTGTAATGGAGATTGACCATGATCTGTCCTTGGATGGAGAGGCAACTCACCGTAGAGGGCCTGCTCGCGCGGAAACAAGCGCGAAGTCGCAGTTCCATCGGTTTAAAGGTGCGTATTCACGTTGAAGAGTTCCCTGTTTCCCTCCGATTATACCTTCTGCTTCAAAATGCGCCGGAAGAACTACGACTAGCTGCAATTGCTATTCGGGACTTCTCTATTAGCAGGGGGGCACTCAACGATCCTGGCTACATCTAAGCGAAGGATCTACTTTCCCGGAGCGCATCAGCTTAACGTAAACCTTCAGAGTTGCGCTGCAGTGTACGGCCATTCACTGTTCCGTAGAGGAACAGGCTATGGCGGGACTGAGAAATGTTAAGCAAGGGACCTGTTGATGGAGTGCTATGTCGAACAGTATTAGTCCTTGGTGGACAGAAGTCCAGTGGTGGACCCGCAGCTTCTCTATAATATGATGATAGCAAGGCCTTCCGCCGTAGAGAGGCAATCGGTTACCGGCTAGGCCGATGACAGGGAAATGAAGTGCGTGCCGGTCCAGCTCGCTGAGATGGCGGATTACCTTCGCGGAAAAGGAAGAGAAGTGCAACATAAACAGCGCTATCTCGAAAGGAAGAAAACGGATTTGGAAACGACCCGAATTTAGATCCCACTCATCGTGGAGAGTTGAATGGCATATCAGCACAAACCGCTACTAGATGCGGTAACCCACAACAGCCGGCGATATCAAGAACCAGAAGGCCAGAAGGACGTACTGAGCGGCGTATCTGCTTCTTTTGCAATAAAAAAAGATCATGCAATTCGATATTCGACACAGTTGGCAAAATCCGAGGAACTAGAGGTGCTAGACTTCCAGCAACGCCACGAGAGGAAGAAACTAAGCAATCAAGGAGAGGCCTATGCCCCCGTGCAATGTGCGGCGCAGCGATGGGGAAGAAAGAGACGAAAGCCGTACCCTCATATTCACACCGCATCAACTGCGTGCATATACAAGCTCGTACTAGTGGCCAGGAGTTGCTTGTGCCCCTAGTTTGATATCGAAAGTCCCGGCATGGAGCTGCAGTCTAACTGTCTACTCGTTGGTGCAGCGTCTGAGACCACGCTTCGAGCAAAGGTAGGCAAGGCACGATAATCGGCTAAATCATGGTGGCAGATTGTGACTTTAACTCCGAACTCAGACTACCATGGTACGGTCCTTGCCGGCTCATGCAGTACGACTTCACGGTATATTCGGAATATCACCAACGTTGTCGCTGACGCGCTATACCGACGCCGTCCATATCAGGCACAGCGTTCTGCAACCGCGCTTCTCTGTGGTGATCTTTTTTTTCTTTTTCCCGAATTTTTTTCTTCTTACTCTTGAGCTAAAGGAGAACCGCAGCTGCCCGAGTATCTAAACAGCACTCGACGGCTTAAGCAACACAGCATACATGGTGAGATCTGGCAGTACCAAACAAGGCCTGAAGCCAGCAGACTATACTTTCCAGTTTTGTCTCGCGAGGAACTCTTGCGCAAAACGCACTATCTTACTCCAGCAGGTCTTTCTGGGCTCAACAAAACAGTGGGGCTAGTTTGCAGCTCCTTATGGTGGCCTCAGCCGAAGAATTTGTCCTCACTTGTCTGGAATTAGCAGCAAAGCGAAACATCCTCCACCCCAGACTCCTGCAGATTTTTCCGATTCCTGAACGGATCAGGACGCATATCACAATGGTTTCCATCGTAGGCTTGCCACCAGTCAAAGACTACTATAGTATCTATTTTGTCACTGGTAGACTCAGCAAAGGCGCCAACTCTGTGCCCTGTTCGAGGAATGTTATGGCGGAGGGAGTGGTACAGTGATCCATTATTCATACCTGGAAGCTCTATAACTTTACAAAATGCATTATTATCGTCAGATATCCGAAGATCGTTAGCGCCTTCTGCGGCAGTCTCATGGGACGGCTCAATTTCGATCACTACATAGCCATCACGAACAATACGGAAGCACATGCTCAACTTCACGGCGGTGCAGCGTTCGTGACTCTCTAAACGAAAGAATATATCTAAGTCGCTTGATTTCCTCCCTTGTACAAAATGAGTTTATTGTACAGCAGTGCAATTTTCGATCCGTTGCGGCGAGGACAGAACGTTGTCTTGTGCCTGTTGCCTTGATGTTTTGGGACATAAATGTATTGGGAGAGACGAAAAATGCCATCGAAATCAAATGCTACGTATGCTAATGAGCCATAAAAACTGTCAAATCATTTGTCTATCCGAGGCATTGGAGCCTTATGTTTCACCGTGCTTTTACTGCGGTTACGTAAGTCTTCAACTTAGAGGCGCATTGAGAGGTGCAGCGGTGTCTAAATACTTAATCTGGGACCTCACAAAAACGGCCGACTGCCCGTCCAGTATCGACTATGGCACAAGGGCCTAAAGCTGGTGCGGAGAGGGGGATGTCTGTGACAAATTGCTGCGCACCTTCCTGCAACTCTTGCTGCAGGTTAACCCCACGCACTGCAAGGCAACCCCACATGATACGTTATCTACAGCCGTAAATAGTTGTTAAACAGTGGAGTGCCTCTCAGTAGCGAGCCTGCAGCCAACTCGAAACACGTGTACAATATTTTTGTGCACGGCTGTCGAGCGGGCACCTACACTATTCGGTGGAAGAAAAGGAAGTGATGTTTGCCGGCAAGGCCCATAATTGTGCCCTTTGATAGGGCTTCTCAACCAACTGAGTAGCCACTCGGGGGAAGAATGCTCATAAGCCGCAATTCCGGCTACTCATCCACCTTACTATTCGCCCTCTGAGCCACTCTTTTTCCCTGTGAAACGCCTCACACCAATGTGGGCGCGCACGGAGCCTCGCGGCTCCGTGCGCGTAAACGAGGTGAGCAAGCTAATAATAATATCATACTAACAGTGATAATAATGATAATAATAATAAGTATATAAAAAAGCAAGTATTAGCTGCAACGGTGATGTAAATTTACAGGTGAACTTCAAAGCTTGATCAGTTTTCTGGGGCTGCAGCGCTCGGTCGGCAGCGCCTCTGGAGCCTCGCTCTCTTCTGCTACTATTCCATAATTTGTCTCTACCCAAGAGAGAAATCTTCATATCTACAAACGAGCAGGTGCCACTCGCTGAGCTGCCGAAGCTGACGGAACAGCAGCGATAAATGAAATACGAGCATCCCGTACTAGCGTGTTTACCCAAGAGCAGGAAGGCAATCCAACTGCATAGCTTGGCTTCCTCCTCTTCTGCGGGTTTGTTGCTAGGGGCGAAGTCAAATATCGGGCGGCTCGATTCCCCGTTTTCCTCTTTTCTATAATAGGGCAATATCCCCACTGAACTGCGGATTCAACGAAGCCAGCAACGGCGTGTGCAACCTCACGAACGGCAGCAGTCGCTGTCCTTCAGCAGGAAGAAAACTGCGGAATCGAGAAACACGGGACGCCACCTCAACAAACGTTTTGCCCGTTCGAGACGTAGATTCCTAATGGCGAATATTCCCGGTTTTGCAAGAGAGCTTCTTGCGCACAGAGATATGCCACGCTGCCTCCGTTATTCTGTATCCCTACAGTTCTGTTTCTTGACGTACCTCTGCGTGAGTTGACTGCGGAGCAAGCAAGTACAAATATACGCGGCGGTACAATGGCAATACCATTGCGGCTAACTCCGTTCGGCTTGGAGCAGCGTAGTGCTTACGTACAGCAAGACAGGCATGACGAGTACTACGAGGAGCTGCTGTCTCCCCGCCACAGCAGGAGTGCAAGGCAAGATTGTTGTTGCATCAGTGTCCTGCTTCTGGGCGACCAAAATGCTGGCAAAAGCGCTTTGCTGTATTCGCTCGTAGCCTCCAAAGATCCTAGGTACACTGCACTCACCTCCCTACTGCCCATTATTCAGGGAGAATTTTCGAACAGGAGGGAAATCCTACCGCGAACGGGTGCTTCTGCCGTTCTTGCCACCGACAAGAGGGGGTTAGGATCAACAGCGACGGTGCAAGTAGACCCTGACTGCGCACCGACTGTGACAACTGAAAAAGACGAACGGGAACAGCTGCATCGCATGCTACCAGAAAACACGGTGACAGATGAGGTAAACACACACACAGGTACTGTAACGGCAATGGCAACTGAAGCAGTGGAAGCTTTGGTGAGCAGGTCCCGGGATGAGCTGCCTTTTCTGGATTCGGATGTTGCGCGGTCTGCGGCTTTACTGTCTGCTGAAGACTTTGCCTTCTTCTGCAATGAGTTCAGCCTTCAGGTGCAGCAGCAACAGCAGCAGCACCAATTGCACGGCCTCTGGAGGAAGGTGAACGACAACCGCTACGTACTGCTTCACCTTCTGGAGTTCGGGGGTGACCATCTCGACCGCATGCACTCATTCTACAATCTAGACGGTTCCCGCAACAGCATGGCTAGCAGTAGCAGCAGCACAAGCAACAGCACCTGCTGTGGGAAATGTGCCTTCAGCAGTAACTGCAGCAAGTGTGATCAGGCCGCTGCGGCTGCTCTACTACGCCGAGAACGAGATTCCGAAAGCCAAGATGCAGCTTTCAAAGCGCTTTACAACTCGGCGAGAGAAGCAACTGCAGACGAAGCAGCAGGGAGTAACGAGTCCGCAGATCAAACTCCGGTGACACCAGCAGCGCAAGATGGGGGAGCCAGTGTTTCAGCAACTCACGCAACTGTTCTGGCGCAGTCTCTCCGCCGCTCCTTCGAGCTGGCTGCTGAGGTCCCGTTGCTTGTTTACTTTGTAAACTGCAGCACGATGTTTATTCCTCCTGTATCGCGCAATGTGGCAGCTAGTGCTGCTGTCACCGCTATTGAGCTAAGTTCTCCAGCCTTCCTCAGATTGCTGCTCCGATTGCACAGCTGCTGCTCGTTTGTTCAACCCGCAGGAAACAGAATGAGGCCCATACATTTTGCATGCTCACGTCTCTCCTGTCGGTCAGCTACTTCCGCGGCGACGGATGAAGTGACGAGCGATGCATCAGATAGAGCCACAGCAGATAGTGCAACAGGTTGCTGCTGCAGTGGCTTCGATGAAAGAGAAAGCTTTCGCAAGGCTCTGGAGGCGTTGAAAAGGTTTGTTTGGATGGCCAGTTCTGCCGCTGGATCAGAATCAGGAGCTTCGAGAACAGTTGCAGGAGCTGCTGCTGCTGCTGCTGCTGAAAAGAACATTGCCTCTGTAAGCATGTGTCTCGACCAGCCGTTCGAGTCACTCTACTCTCGTTTTCTCTCAGACACCGACAACAGCAGCGACAGCAGCTGCAGCACCGGAACTGGTGGTGACAGGATCCCCACCAACATAAGCTGGGCACCATTTGAGGACTGCTGGGGTGTTTCTGCATGCGCCCGTTTGAAGGCTGAGGATGAACGACTGCAACAATGCGCCTCTGTCGTTTTCTTGGAGAGGTTGCTAAGATTTGTTTGGAGGGTTTGCTCGCCTTTTCCATTCTGCAGCAGCCTAACTTTCCGAGGTGTGTCAGCAGTCAGGGTTTTGGAACGAAACAGTCATTGGCAACAAAAACAACATCTGTCGCCTCCGCAGGACCACCAGCTCCAACATGAGGCGTGGGGGCCTGGCTGGCAGTTGTGTGTCGTTTCAATAATTTCATTTCTAGCGCGCGTGTTTTTCCTTCTAGCTGAGGCGGAGGAACTTGCTGAAGCATGTACGGAAGCAGCGGTGGGCAGCGGGACAGAAGCAAATGTGCGTGAGCACCAACAGTTAGATAAAAGAGCCTTGCCAGCCACTGACACAGAGAATGAGATAAATACAGTTCTCGAAATTGGAGGGTTCAAAAACCAAGAAGACGAATCAGCCAGCTGGAAGCAGCTGCAGCTGCTACAGCAGAACAATATAATCACAGGTGAAACAGGGCGGCAACTCATTTCTCTGTTCTCCGCATGTGCCAATTTGCACCGCCAGCAGCAGCATCAGGTCTCCCCAAACGAAGTTTCTGTAGACCTTTGGCTATCTTACACCGACTGGAGAGACTTCATTGCTGATTTTGACCCGGTGGAGCAGCAGAACGCATCACAAGACCAGCAGAAACAACAGACCCATATCACGCTATCTGCCACAGGGGAGATCGTGATTGCCTCTGCAGTGGAAGGAGATTATCTGCTGCTACTTCCTGCTGCTGCTGCTGCTGCTGCATTCAACCCTTTGGCAAGGGAACTGGTTTCCTTGGGCTGCTGTCTTCCGTGTTGTTTCAACGGCGGTCCTTGGGCACCTGTCGCGGTCCAATTGTATATCGATCTGCCGGGTATAGGAAACCAGTTGCATTTGTTACTTCTCCCGGAAGTACTTAAAGAGCACTTCAGCGATATTCAGCAAACGCTCCAGGAGGCCCATTACCCCCCGGTGCCGTTGAGCCGGAAGGAGTTGCTGAGGGAAGGACTAGTTCCATGTCTTGCTGCTGTACGTTTGCCGTTTCATCCTGCGGTTTGTGAGCTGGTTAACAGCGTTCTCAGCAGTTGTGCCCGAGAGCCGCTCCCTGCAGATTTCTGGACGGCAGGAGCTGCTGCCACTGTTGCAGCTGTCACCACATCGGCGAGTGCACCGGAAGAAGCTGACGCCGAATATGGGAGGCTCTCGAAGCTTGCAACGGTACGCAATACAGCTGGTGCAGCGGTGGATGCTGCAGGGCGAAACGCACAGGCTCTCTTGCAGCAGAGATTGCAGCAGGAATTATTGCATTCAGAAAATACGGGAGAGAAAGTATTTGGTGAGAAGACCCTCATAAATTGTTTGCAGGTGCTGTTGCACCTTTCTGGAGATGTAGTGCTCCTGCAGCAAATGGCCGCAGTTGCCATCTCAGTGAAGGGCTCTGAGCAGCAGAAGGGATGTTTGGAAAGTCAGGGAGAGAGCGAAACAAAGCAAGAATGGAAACGCCGTATAGGGGGTCCGTACTGCTCGCAAAACCAGTTGTTTTGGACAGTAGACCTGCAGCTTCCAGCAGAAGAACCTCCAGAAGCATCTGTAACGGGATCAGGAAACGGCGCTCCAGCGGTAAATGAATGCTGCGGTGCACAGACAGCCAACTCAGATGTGTTTACCTGCACACTTCGATCAATAAATAGAGAGCTTACCGAGTTCGGTTTGCTACTGCTGCCCGTGCCCCAAACCAGCCCCATTTTGCCGCCCGTGTAGCCTCCTAAGCAAAAGCCTTCAACTGTTTCACTTTTTCAACACAGCTGTGAGCTGGAATAGCATCTGCCTTATGCGACACTTAGTGAAGCCCTGCCCGGCAGTCCTTTGCAGGCCGCGTGCATTCGCTAGTGAGCATCTGATTACCCAGAAATTGTTCCATTATCTTTTTATGGGAGGTTTTTTTGGCTGCTATTGTGAGAAAAACGTTCGAGTTGTCCGCACTTGTAGATGTGCTAGATAGCTAGACACTTGACATACCAAGGCAAACGGGCTGACTTACGAACATTCCTATAGGAGGATTATGCATAGCAGCAGCTCTGTCTCCCGCAGGAAAGTGGACGGGAGCTTCGCTTCCTTGTTGGCAGCAAGAGGGTAACAGAAAAAACCTTGCGGCGGTCTGTGACATGCGTCAAGGCGATATCCGCTCAAAAGCAGCGGTAAAGCTTCACTCCACCACGAATTTCCTAACTAGTAAGATAGGCTTCCTCTCGCAGGATCTGCCTAGTGTAGCTCCTTGCTTTCGCGTAAGCATGCATGTTGGAAACAACTTCAGCTGCCTCTAGTGGATCTGTTCCCCAAACAGCTCTGATCATGTTGCAGCTCATGACGTTCATAGGCTACGGCTGAGGAATCTCATTACGGCTCACTGAGAATTTGGGGGGCGGAGCTGGCCTAAAATGCCGAGGTTCCTCAGGCTGTGATAGGGGATTTTCGTAACGGACGGAGGATCTACTTTCGCGACTACGCTAAAGCTTCGAATGAAGAAATCTATCCACAGACCGAAATATACATTGCTGAGAAGCGTTCGATGCAGTCTGATATCCCTCTACGGCCACGTCGTCCGGCGACGTTCCCCCCGTAGGGGTAGTAGGGAGCTCCCCTCATTGGGCTCATTGTCCAGGTGAAAGAAGCGACGAGCAGAAGCGAAGAGACTCTAGAGGTATAAGAGGTAAAATCGAATAGAGTTTGCCATTACCTGTAGAGGGTGCATAGTCTAAGGCAAAACATTACTTTCGGCAACGCGATCTCGCTGCAGCCGACCGGGGTTCTACTGGAAACTGACTTCTGTAAACACACACACAAAATTAACGGAATTGCATGTTGATAAATATGCTATCGGACCCTCAAAATCACCCCTATGCTCTTGGTCATGGTGTGTAGTCCCGGTTAGGTCTTTGCTTTCCTCGGGCTGTGTTGTCTGATGTCCACTGGCAACACCGAACTACAAGATTCGTTAATATCTTCCTTCTCTGGGAGAAAAGGAAATTTTCGCAAGTTGAATCTGCTGTATGATGTAGACGACTTATCTGTATGTTTCTTGGAGCCCAGTGCTTATGCTGAAATATTGCTGCCGAAGGTCTCCTCTGCCGGACCTACTGCTTTTCTTGAACTGAAAGCCTACGACAATAGACCTTCTCACTTGGATGGTGTTCAAAAGCAAAAAAAGAGTATTTTTTTCTGCTTTTCCTCGGCGAATCACCTTTCTTTCCTCCTATGATGGTGCCCAGTGGCCCAGCTGGCAATCGCCCGACACAGAACGAGGAAGTGACAGAACCCAAAGAACTTAGCGGCCCTAAACGGCTTGCATCATCACTGTCTAATATCACTTCTCGCCTTTCTACTGCTACAGGGGGCTGGGGCAAATGGTTGCTTAACTCCGCCTCAGACATAGTCGCGGAAATCGGCGCCGAATCCGTACGGCCCCAACCCCTCACGTACTGGCGAGAGAACGACTGCGCTGTGATATGAGTTTTGCGCAATAGGTCCATATAACCTCAAAGCCTCCTGGTGCTGTACGCCAGTCTGCATGCTGCGTTTATGCTTTCTGTTCAGGAAGAGGCCAAGAATGACCTCAAGGAGTTTTGTCAAACAATTGTCTCAGACTCGACGGCTTGGATACGAAGACACACAGGGAGCTGCCCTACTGATGAATCTTCTGTCCAGCCCCCCCCTAATGATGCCAACAGCAGTCGCACGGGAGACGACGGCAGCCATAGCAGCAGTGCCACCGACAGCAGCACAAACACTGTTACAAGCCGCCACAACGACGAGCATAGCAGTAGCAGCAGTTGTTCCGGCACACCTTCTTTAGATGACACTATCACTCACGCGGGCAGAACAGCGACCTCTCCTCCGTCACCTCTTCACTCATCCTCTGCGCAAACTGATCATAGCGCGGAAAGTCCCCCAAAGGAAGTCAATTTGTTTATTTTGGAAAAAACCAAAGAGCCGTCTTTGCCTATTTGGATGTGGGTGAAGGTTTCAGTTAGGGGACAATCTAGATTTTTGGCTGTACGCGGTCGCGCACTTCGTACATGTTCGCAATAAGGCCCAATCAACCTGATTCACCTTAGCTTGTCTCCCTTCGATTTCGTCTTGTCATGCGCTTTCTGGCATTCAGGACCGATCCAGCATTTAAACGCCGCTTTCGGTGTATAGCAACGTCAGATGAATCTTTCACTTCGGATCCGCTGCCCGCCTTTCCCAGTAGCAGTGCGAACAACACGCAGCAGCATCAACAAAAGCAGCAGGAGCCTGCATGCGAGGAACCCACTTGTGGGTCAGCAGTTTGCGCAACTGACGGCAACGATGATGCAGGGCCATCTGAGGCAGAAATAAAGGAGTACATGAAGGATCCTTATGTCGCCGCAGCTCGACAAAGACTTGGTAACTCTGCCCGTCCATGGCCATCTCTACGTCAATTATAGTTGGCAGTTTCCCACTGTAGCTTATTGCTTGTTCACCACACGCTTTCCCGTACTACTCCTTTGCTTTACTAAGAGCCGCAGATAGCATACATTTCCGCCTAGTTTATTTTATATGGATAGAAACTATGATGTGCGTTGTTGTGGTCTGTTTGCGTTTGGTATTTCGAACGATCGGTTACGCACTGCTGCAGTCCCTGAGAAAGTAACCGAGGAATTGTTCTGGCGACGGTTTCACGCCCGTGTCCGGCACATGGTGGAACAGGAAGAACAACTGTCTGTACACCTCAGCAAACTAAAAACACCAACAAAGGCCGTAGACGACTCAGAAAGCGAAGAGGTGAATACTACGGACTTACAATTCACACCGACTCCTCTCACTGCTTGGCGTATCCATAACAACGTTTACCTATTGCTGTCCTCATTGTTATTTGAATGCTTATTTTATTTGCGTTTGAGAAGTCGGAACATAAGTCAACGCCTTCAACCCCCCACCTTGCACGAACTGAGTGCACATCTGGACAGATTTAATGCAAATTTGCCGCTGATGACACGTTTGCTAAGAACAGAGACGGAAGGCCACGCGTATGACACCATTCCCTTATAGTTGCATAAAATTGATGGATATTTACCCTTGGTTGATCGCTCCTTTGTCACCCCCCATCATTGCCGACCGTTTTTGCTTCAGGACATATCGTGGGAAGATCTTGGCGACGATTAGGAGGAGACCGCGTCAGAGGCTGCAGGCAGCCCTTCGATTTCTTCACTGGGAATGTGTTACATCGTCCCTTGTATCGTACGCGTTTATACTATTTTGTGCAACTTTGGAGAAGATGGGCGGGTGGTTACAGAAAGGCCTGTAAAACCCCCTTCCCCATCCCCTCCTAATGAAGTCGTTTTATTTGAATTTCGTTTCAATTTTTTTGGGGAATACACTCAACATTCGTTCCCAAAGTATTGCCTATTCTGAAGATCCATTAGGATCGTGTTGCACAGTTGCATCAGCAGCTTGTATACAGCTAAACTGGTGTAGATTTAGCCGTCGCACCTTATTTATGCCGTATCAACTGGTTTCCCATCAAAGAGACGTTAGTTAACAAAGAACGCTAATGTGAAAGATATAGGAAGACTGCCAAAGTCCATGGGCATATATGCGTAACTGCATGAACGTTACAATAGAAGTATGGGCACATTCCACGCACGAGCATACCCTTAGGTAAAATCGTTCAGTCGTTGTTGCGACGCACCAGCCAGGTGTGCCGGTAGCGGAAAGCATAAATGAAAGAAACGAATCATCCATGCTTCCCCTTCTTTGTTTTGTGCTCTAGGCTGCATGTCCTTGCAGTAGCCACTAACTGCGCAGGGGGCCGCCAGCCATCTATCACACAGCAAACACTCTGCTGTGCAGAATGCGACTGTTGCAGCCCCAGAAAGTGCAGTGACACCGCTACAGTTCTAGCAGAGAGTGACCCTGGTGCAGCTGGTAGCCCGTGCCGCCGCAACGACATAACAGCGCAAGGTATGCCTGCAGCCGCACGCGCATTTCCTGCCCCAGAAAACTGTCCTGAGAGAACAAGAAGAAAATACTGAATTGAGCATTCTTTGCCTCAAGTGGGTACATTACTCAGTTGACGGACTTCTCTCAGTGTGCAGCGTTAGTGTTCTAATTTGTATTCAAGCGAACGTGCACCGACAGCACCCGTTCGGTACATTTCAATCTACATCTATGCATAGCCAGCAGGCGCAAACTGCCAAGTATACTCTGAAAAAGTATAGAGACGCACCGCGCTTCCTTAGATGGCTTCAGCCTACATGCCTCTCCTTCCCCTTCCACCTCTGAAGCCGCCACGGCCTCTTCCCCTCATGTTCCTCCCCCTGCCTCCGAAGGGTGGACCCCCGCCGGAACGGCCGCCATTCCCCTCGTTTGCGTCGTCACCTCCCGACATGTGCACCAACTCGTACTCCTGCTCGCTCATGTTTCTGGTGGTACAAACTGAAAAATTGAAGTCCTTGAAGTCGTCGTCTCGAGCGTCACTGCAATCACGCCACAGCATCGGCAGCCACAGCACTGCGGTGAAAGAGAAGATACAGCGGCGGAAGAAGACCATAGAAATCACCAGCAACGCCCCAGCAGTCCCAACCAGAGCAGCCGCAGCAACACGAGTGGAGCTGCAACATCCGATAGCCGGCATCGCGTCTTACGAAATCTTTCCCCATTTGTCCACTGCAAGTCTCATGTGACCGTCTTCCATTTCGACTTTTGCGTTTCTGATCAACAGGGGTGTGTTCACGACGTCGGGCAGTTCAAGTTGTGCGCCTTCCAAGCTGAAACGCAGGGAAACGCATCACTACAGCAAAACGAGGATCATTACACCCATGGATAAACTGTTTACCGACGAATCACGTTGCAGGCCCTCCTGTTGCAGCCTAACGCATATCGCCCATTTCGGAAACTTATCCAGCACATCACCAAGCAGAAAGGCAGCTGCAGAGGCTATCATCAATTTTCAGCGACGAACCCACAACTGCTGCTGCCGCAGCAGTAGCAGTTGCTAGTGCCCCAACTGTAGCTGCAGACGCTTACTTCAGAGTTATCATTGCTTCGTCGTCCCCAACGACCATGGTGGCTCTCTTGATTGTCTGACCGCGGGGCAGAATGATGTCAGGCTGCGTGTCAGAGCAAACACCACAAAGCAAATGCAAGAACATGAATGGCATGCTAGACTCCACTGCGCCTATCCTGGCGGCCCAATGCCAACCCACCCCACGCAGTCAGCATAGCTACTATCTTTTGTTGCGTCTATCCCCCCGCCGCCCGTCTACTAAGTTAAGATGGAGAGGAAAAGGGGAAAACACTGTGCTCCCTATGTGGCAACGTAATCTGCTGGTTTGTCTATAGATCGAGAATGCAAAGAATCTGGTGAATTCATTCTCCTCAATAGGGCGACCACGGATCTCCTGCCTCCCGGTTTTCCCTCCTTACTGCGGGCTTGATTGGCTCGACAACTTTAACGCGCAAGTTGACGCCCGTGCAGAGGGGACTGAGCGAAGATATCTTCCTGAACTGCGCAACTGCCTTCTTAGGAGGCACTCCAAGGGTTGCGTTGCCAGCATCGCCCCTACGAGCTAATGTTTTTCCATCGTGCGCTGCATCTCTCGGGGGCTTTGGGAGCTTCAACTGGTGGTAACGGAACTCCACGAGCAGGAAGAGAGCAAACACTGCACGAGGGTCCAACATCGCGCGCCAGGTGTCGCCCATGTACACCACGCTGCAACGCCAGCAAATGCAGAAGCAATATATCCGCTGAGTCCCAGCAACAGTAGCTTAGATCGTTTTGCCTCAACTGACGCACCTCTATAGGGAAGAAATGACGTGCAAAGAACAACGATGCACAGGATAGTCAAGCATGCATAACAGCACAACGAAACACTCCCGTTGCCCCCACAGCTTACCTAAGGCCCAAAAGACCGTCCCCCTCCTCCGTTCCAATTGTTGCTGGGGGATACCCGTGTTTCTTGGTCCTTCCTACATCATGCTCCAGCTTCTGCAACACGTCCGGTGTAGCGACACTTCGGTACAACAGAAGCCGCGACCTGATGGCCGGAGGAGCGTCTGCGGTTGCTGAGGAAGGGCAGCAGGTGACCCCTGAATCTCCAACTATCCTTCCATGTGCCGCCGTCAAGAGGTCCACGCAGTCGTCTCTGTGCAGCGACAGGTTTAGGTGTTTCTCCAGCAGAGCTCCACACGGGCCTTCCAGCTTCCCCTGTTGGTCGAAGGTGCCTTCCACCAAAGCCAAGCTCGCGTTCAGACCAGTGGCGAGATCCGGTCTCTTGCAGAATACACACAACTCCAAATTCGTCACCGAGTTACGCAGCACGATCAGGATGGCAGACTGCATCGGTCGCAGGTACACTGGCCCATTCACGGCGGTGCCTTGACTGTTCGTCGCCTCCACGTCTGCAGATGCAACGAACCACAAAGACGCCGCCTACACAGCTAGTAGTTGCGCAGGCATATCTGTACATCCACGTCCCGTTACTTGGGCCGCTATCACTGCTACTGCTACTGTTTCTGCGCCGGAATGCGGCCTTACTGAAGCATATCTCCGGCTTCAGCTGCTGAATGGTGATGCGCTCTACTTTTAACCTGCCCTCGTGGCAAAGGTTAGAAGCCCATTCCCCAAAGAGGGGATTTGTGTAGACCTGCTCCCATGCATCTGCGGGCAGGCCCCTGCAAGAGAACATCACGGAAGAGATGCACACAGCGGAGAAGACACGAAGATACGCTGTACACCACAAGGGGGAGCATCAGCCTGCACTCATGGATACGCCCTAGCTCGTGTTAATGCGGGAATCGAGCAATATGTGGTGACCTATACGATGGGAGACGCATGGGAAGGTATGTAGAGGAGAATTAAGCAGTCTAGGACGGCTCCTGGGTATGGCTTACTTTGCCTGGTGCACATACACCGGAACGTTCCTGTAAGGACCGCTGTTTAAGCTGAAAGAAGGCGACCCAGCGTCAACTGACGCAACCGTGAAACACTCCGCCATCTGCAGCGAATGCATGCGAACACGAATGCAGGTGACACGTTTGTTCTGATCAGATGGCATTGCATCATAGAGCAACCTGATACGGCTTATTCCTGAGCGCGTTCACACTCTACAACAGAAGACAAGAGCAAATGAGTAGTGGGAAATTGCCGTCGGCACGACGGCGTCCAGTCAACCACCCCCTGGAGGCCGAACGGGTGGGGAGGAAACAGAAGACACAAAGTGGTGCCTATTCACTCCAGGGTGCTATACAGAGACTTGAGTTTTCAAGCATTCAAGTAACGGCAGAGGAGACGGAGCCACAGGAAAGCAAGGAGCACCGTTGCCGTGGGCGTGGTCGCTGCCGCGTAGACTTCTTACCCTCGCTGCGCTGTAGGAAGCGAGTGAAAGGCCGAGAATAAATGTTTACTATTAACAGGGAGATTACAATTTAAAATATCCCCACAGCACAGCTGCAGCTCATCCTGCACGGTGTTGCCGCTGCAGAGGCGGGGCAGCTGTTGACCGCCAGGCCCTGCAGTCGCGCCTCTCCCTTTCGCCCCGTAGAGCTTCCTTCTTCCTCTCGTTAAGTTCCCCCCTACAAATGCGTGTAAAAACTATATTTTAAATGCAAATATGGTTTAATAACATCATACACAATCATCTTTTAAGCACACACACCGGCAGTCAGACGTTGCTTTTTGCTTAGCACACCCCGCGTTGCGGTGCGATTTGCCGCTCAACGATGAAGGACAGAATTAATCGAGAAATGCGTTTTTGTATACCCACATCTTTTACCTGAATTTTGAGCTATTGGGCATTTGCTTCCACAGTCAAGCGTCAGGCTCACCGAGCGACCTGGCGTCTCCTCCGTAGCACGTTCTGATAGGCAGCATATGTATTTCTACTCTCGTACTGGTTGCTTACTGAAGACAAAGAAATATTTTATCAATTCTCTACACTGTTAGTCTATGCAGCAAAGATAACTTGGGTGGGCTTGCCTGTGGGGTTGCCTTACTGCCGGTGTTGCAGCTATGTAAGCAATGTACTGGGTGTCCTCGATGTTGCCTGGGGGCCGTCGTGAACTGCAGTGGACTCAAAATACTAGAGATTTCCCAAAAAGCAGCTTCTTTTCACACCAGCTCCCAGGAATTGCGGTACGACGGCTCACGGGTCTGGAGTTAGGGGGGATGAGGCTGCCTGGTATGGGCTGCAATGCACCTCGCTGCAACTAGTCCTACAGGGCAGTCACATATGCAAGCAAAACAAAGAGCCATTTGCTTAATGTACTGGCTTGAGTTCCAGCTGCCTACTAAGGGCCAAGTAGCTGGCTGAACAACTACTTGGCCCTTAGTAAGTAGCTGGAACTCAAGAATGTAGATGCACCAACTTCAGACGAAACATGCTACTGAAACTGCTGCCAATCTTGGCAGGAGATGTGCTCTCCTAACCATCCCCAGGTCCTTGCAACGTTATGCTCAGGACGCAAATAGCCTGGGAGGGAAAGTCACGTGCCGCAAGGCCTGTGTGAAGTTTGCAAGCGTATCCTTACTTGCGCGTGGCAGCTATGGAGGGTCAAGTACGTATTCAGCAATTGCCTACAGTGCTACTGCATGCACAAGGGAATGTTTTGTGCCTGCATACGGAGTTGCCTTGCAATACTAGTTGCGCCGGCGGTACGTTGCAACTACGTCGGACGATAATAATGGCTCTTGTTCCATTTGGTAACACCTCCTGGCTCATTGGAGAATGCACGAGAGGCAAACCCCACTCCCACAGCCGGGCGAACTGGTGCATAGCAGGGATTAGTTGGGAAAACTCTCTGCAAGGCAGTTATATAGAAAAAACTTGTCCTACAGTCTTCGCAAAAGAACTCGGCCCCTTACCCCTTTCTCACAATGGATATTGATCAGGTCCTGCTCTCCGCCGGTGGGGCAGTGGCGAACGCCTGGGAGGCTTGTCAACCAATATCTACATACAATCCGGCGAAAAACGCGATTGCACCAAGAGCAGTTCACAGACAATGCCTCCGCCTTTGCTAATCGTCCTGAAATGACGAGCGCCGCGACGTGGAGGGAGCGGAGGAATTCCTTGGTCCTCTAGAAATGCATGTTCTTCCTCTTACTGCACGCGAACAGGTAAAGCTTTTTATTAGAGGTGAGGGACGGAGGCATGATGAGGGCGGTTGCCTGTAGGTAGACCAGTTCGAGAACGTATCCGGAGCCAGGAATCCTCCTAGCATGAGCTGCGATGTAGGTTTATCCGCAGGGCAAGACGAGAGGGTATGATGGAAGTGAGAACATGTAACGAGGGAAGCTATCGATAGGGACTGCGACAAATATATCAGCCGGTAGTGAACAGAATTCCAGTGGACGACTCGGAGGTTCTATCTCAGTGGCACATAGAATGGCTGTCCTCCGGAACCTGCTATTGGTAACCAGCTGGGCACTGGAGAAAGAACTAATTGATGGAAGGCGTTGAGTCGCCGAGATGAGGAAGAACTTCCCCATTCAAGAGAGAAAAGGCGCCACCTCCACTGCCATATCTGGAAAGGCCGAAGGCAGACTTAGAAAAGCCCCAGATATACTCGCCATGGATATTGAGGCTGTGTATGCCAGCCCCGCCCAGGAAAGGATAAGAAGCGGTAACTGTGAGCAGCCCGTGAGTTTGGCATCCAGGAAGCCAGCCCGTAAATTTGGCATCGGGAAAGCCAGGGTCTAATCCCGAGAGGCGCATATACCTCGCTTGCAATAAGCAAGAACACCTTTCACTACTGAGGGGGGGACCCAAAGTTCTTTAGCGCGTCCTGGCGCGAATTCATCATGCACTTAAATATCAACCATAGCATGACCACCGCGAACCATCAGGGGGCAGACGGGAAAGCAGAGTTGACGAAACTAGCGCTTGTTCGGTCTTCGCGACTCCGGTCAATGGTGAATTCACCAATGTGATTTGATACCATCCCATGTGCGGCATGGCTAATCATACAACAGTGCAACTATCGACCCGCTGTTCTCCGGGTTCCCTGATCTACAACGGGACATCTCGGAGGTTGCCGTTACAGCAAGCTGCGCACAAGCGCAGCTGCAAACTTTCATGCACAGCTTGTAGCAGCTTGGGACAACATACACAGAAGTGGGAACATCAGCAAAAGCACCAAGGATATCGGTCAGTAGGAAGGGCACTAAACGCAGCAGAAACAGCTACCCATTTGTATATACATGAATGCACCGCACCGACGATACCACTACCAGATCACAGCAGCGCCCAAACCACCAGCAGCCGCAGCAGCAGTAGCAAAAGCAGTGCAAGGTGCAGTAGCAACAGAAACTGAACTACACCCCGGAGGAAATCCAACAGCAACATGTGCAGTAGAAGGAAACGACGGATCAGCGATAAAAGCACGCGCTGCGGCAGCAACTGCAGCTGCGACAGTCCTCTCGATCCACCCAGCCGTTGCTGGGTGTCAAAGCACGCAAGGAACGGTGCCGTTTGAGCGGAGAGGGAGCCGCATGCGAAGTTGGTTCATCCAAAGTTCGTTCTTATGTTTTTAACTGCACGCTGGCTGGGCACTGAGGAGCAAGCAAGCATTTTACACTTGCCTGCACTGTTAGCGCGTGCATCACATGGGAACATGGTTGTCCATACATGTCGGCTTACCTTATAGCAGGAGTTGCAGCAAAGTGTACTGCAGCTCATTGTAACCAGCGTCCTCTATCTTGGCAGAGAATTGTTGTGTGCTGCAGTGAAGTCCAACCGTTAAGGGTCCCCGCAAAGCAGCTGGAATCCCCTCCTGCATGAGCCAACCTGGACATAGCGGCCACAGGGCCTGGGGCTGATGTGGAGAGGCAGCCTATCATTAGTTGAGGATTACCCTACTCAAACTAATTGTGCAAGGAAACCCCATATGCAATAACAACCAAACTCACGTTGGTAGCATTCACTAACCATGTAGAGAATTGTTGAAACAAAGCATCCCTCTAAGTATCGAGCCTCTGCGTAAGCAAAAAAAGCACATACCAAGTGCAGATAAACAATGCAACACTCATGTCAGCCCGTCTCGCTTCCCTGGGCCGCTGCGCCCAGGACACCAGGAGGCAGGGGGGAGGTTGGCTGCCCCGCGTAACTCCTATCTTGAGTCCTTCCACTCTATTGCAGCTTCTGACTGTCCCATGCAAATATCGGGGACCCTTATTACAACAATTTTAACGTTGTCGAGCACGCGGGAAATACTGCAGGGAGAGACTACACCGACATCTGCCGTTCCGCCGTTCTGGTGAGGCCTTGTTAAGAAACGGAGAACTATACGGAAGCGTTTATTACCTTGAAGCGTAGAGTGAACATCATATTTATCATATGATAACATATGCTGAACATTTTATTTATTTTTAACAACTTCCGTTGTACTACACCACGCCGGCGTGGCTTTGGGGCTGCAGCCCTGTATCACCCCTCACTGGTTTGCAGCCCGATTGCACAGGATATAATGCGGAGCTGCTCAGAGCCCCAGCTACCTCTTCCTTCTTCTACTTATAAGTATCTATATTTAGACTGTAATCTATGGGTGAAGCTGCTCAAGTTGATTCCCAGCTTTCTATGGTTTTCATCTAAGGCACGCCGGTCTTTGCCGCATGCAGGAGCCGGCCCCATCGATGCATGTTAACAACTCATTGCTGGTATCGTCCTAGGGGCCCATTGAAAGTTTTTCTTGTTCTTATGTACAGCAACACTGGGGAGTGGTCTAACTACACGGGTACAGGACGAGCTGCAGTCCTCCCTTCTCCGTCGTTGCAGGGAGCCGAGCTCAGACTGGAAGGGATGCGAAGATGGAAACAGCGATATTATCATGCAGGTGGGGAATTAAATTACATTTTCCTTTTTTGTGCTGCGAAAGGGGGCGAATATATACTTTTTGAGCTGCTGCGTTTTCAGCTTCATCTCTGTCGTCGTTTCAGGTGTATCGACAGCCAACCGCCGTCCAGCGTGGAGGCGTTGCAGTTCAGCCCGGACGGTCGATGGCTGGCAGTCGGCCGATCGAGCGGCATAGTTGAAGTGTTTAGTTCCGTCAGTCGTCACGTGAAGCTGGTGAGTGTGTGTAGACTCTCGTCTCTTACTTAGCCTTATGAGTTTCTTCTGACTTTCGTGGTTGTTCATGCTGTATGGGGGGTTATATATCTTGCGGATCGCGTTTGCTTGGGTTTTATTTACAGAGGCTTTCAACTGCTTCTTGCAGCTCTGTACGGAATATTATATGGCTGCCGTTGACGCTGGGGGCCGCCGCCTCTTCAGCGGTTTCTGAGGCAGGCGGCGCCACTACAGACCATACAGACCTCAACGAGGTCACCAGCACTTCCCTTTTTGAATGGCGGCTCATAACCACTGGACTTCATGGTGTAATTACATCGTGGAACCTCCGCACATGCCGTGTACAGGTGAGAAGAGCGCAGGAATACCGGGCGAACTGAACGCACGTACCAGCAGAAAGAAAACACAGCGATGGACTGGTGCATACCAAGATTGTTTAAGAATTCAGGATCGCTTTTTTCTTCTTTACACTTCTTGATTTACGTTTCGTGTAGTTTTTTTTCTCTGCATGCGCTGTTGTGTTGCACCGAGCAGGCCGAGTGCCCTTCCAATGGCGGGGCTGTGTTCTGCCTCTGTCGCTGCCCCCCCGAAATGGGATCTCCAGCTTTCGCTGCTGCATGCGATGACGGCCGCGTTCGACTCCTCCACGTCTCGGGGGCTGCAGACAGGGCCTGCCGCGAGCGCAGTGAAGACCCGTATGTGGGGATGTTGTCAAGCGACAACGAGACAGCGGAGGAGATTCATGTTACACACACGCTCCCCAAAACCAAAAGTAAATCTCCTTTTTACACTCTGCATATTTCTTGCTGCTACTCCTTCAAGGCCCACAACAGACAGCACACAGTGTCTGTCTATGAACGGGTAGTGGCTTTGTTGTAGTATACCGCTGGGCTGTGTGCATGAACTGCAAGCAGGAGAAATAGATGAAGAAAAATATATTGAATTTATAAGGATAGGGGCTGACAGACAGACACACCCATAAGCAGAATGAACTGATGCATGCATGCTGCGGTGTATGTATGCTTCTCTTCTCTCTCAGGCCGTCTGCTGTCAGTGTGTTGGTATTCACAAGATTTAATTTTCGCTGGAAATGCCTCTTCATGTATTCTGCGGTTTTCACGTGGGGGGCCGCAGAGCGCCTTCGTTGCGGACGGCCAGATGGCGCTGGAGAACAAATCCTTAACAGGAGACAGAACAGAGAGTGAGCTGAAATCATAAAAAAAAAACTATTTTCATTCTTTTTAGTACTTGTATTTTTACTAGTTTATCATCGTGCATTTCTTTCTTCTAAGCCGCTCTTTAGATTGCGAGATGTGGGTAGTGGGTTCTTCACACCGCTGCAGCAACAGTAGCAGCTATAGCAGCAACGGTAGCAGCTGTAGCAGCAACAGCAGCAGGCGTAGCAGCAGTAGCAGCAGCCTTAACAACAGGAGCAGCAGCATCAGCAGCAGAAGAATACGGAACGCTGAATGCTTTTTGTTGGGGTGTACAGGCAGGGGATGTGCATAATATCTCCACTTTTTGTTTGTTTTTTTTGCGTGTACGTGTTTCGTTGAGCCTATTTTATTTGAATATTCAATATTCTGTTGTTGAATATTTTTTATGTTTTTCTTTGATGTTTCTGAACTGCAGGCAACAGTACCCTCGTCTGGAACCTGAGGGCGCTGCGCCGCCGCTCGTTGCTGCTGAGCGGCGACAGCAGGGGCCGTATAACTCTGTGGAGTTTGCCCACTTGTGTGGCGCTGCAAACTTTGCATGTTCACGTTGCTGACATACTGGACATCCAGTTGATGGTGTGTATAGACAGCCTCATCGCGGATACGAATCAGAGCGACGCGCAAACTGTCAGAAGAAAAGAAGAAGTTGTTCTCTCCGTTGGGGTTGACGGAAAGCTCTCTGCAATAAGCAGAACGGAGGTCAGNGAAAAGAAGAAGTTGTTCTCTCCGTTGGGGTTGACGGAAAGCTCTCTGCAATAAGCAGAACGGAGGTCAGGAGAAACACCAAATTAACTGCAATTGATAAACAACATGGGGGCTCATACACTAGACTAGGGGAAGTACACGCTCGTAGCTCTTGTTCTGTCGTTCTTTCGGGGCTTGCTCTGCACCCACATCAGGAGTAGTAACCACAGTAGCGGCAGCAGCAGCAGAAAATATGAAGCATGCTGTGGATGCTTGGGCTGCTGCGCAGGGTGATCGCTGGGTTGTTCGTGCGTGTCGCTATCCGCACTTGTGCGACAGTCAAGCGGTTGCCTGTCTGCCTAGAGTGCCTGGGGGCCCTGATGGCTCTTTGATTGTCACTGGGGCTGCAGACGGCAGCATCAAATGGATGCGAAACCTCACGGAGTTGGCGGTGGGTCGCATTGCGACTATCTGAGAGTGTGTTGCTTAGCTTTGGTATTCGCATGTGAATCAATGTGTACATATAATACTTTTTGTTTATACACTCGCGTATGCATCTGTTCTTAATGTGCTGGCCTGCAGGGTCTTAAGGCACCGTGTCTACCCTTCTGCTTGTCCCCCTCTCTACGGGGCCTCCAGCGA